CACTCGCCTCTGCTCCTGCCACCTGCCCGGGCCCTCCCGCTCCCCTGCCCCTCGTCCTGCGCTGGGTGTTTGTGCGTTCAAGAGATGCGGGGCCCCCCCGTGACCCCTGCTGGGGCCGGGGGACATGGGGTGGGGGGGCCCCTAATGCCCACGCGCTGTCCCCCAGGGTTTTAAAAATATCCCCCCCATCCCACACTTTGCCCCTGCACCCCAAATCTCAGCCCAGCAGAGCACAAAGAGCCCCCCCCCGCCCTCCCCCAGTCTAGTATATACAATATAAGGTATAAATAGATAAATAACCTTATCGCCCCTGTGCCCCCCTGCCAGCCCGGTGCCAACATGGGACACACGGAGCAGCAGGTGTGTGTGGGGGGAATATGAGCAGAGTGACCTCCCCCCATGACTGTGCCGGCAGCTCAGTTTGGGGTTGGGGGTGGGGGGTGAAGCGGGTCCCATGCGCTTCCCCCGCCCCCCCCAGCCTTGGCACCTCACGGGGGACAAGGGGGTCCCAGCATCACCCTCCCGCCCCATCACTGCCACCACCAGGGGCTTCCTGCATCTGCAGCCACGTTCAGGGGAGGGGACAGGGGACATGAGAGACCCTGCATGTGTCCCCCCCCCCATAACAGGGGAGGGATGGGGGAGGGGGAAGGTGGGGACAGCCCCTCCGAGGAGGGCGACTGCAGGGCAAGGGGTGCTCACATTTAAAACCGCCGACAAGAAGAAAAAAACAAATAATAAAAGGAAAAAAAAAAAAGTAATCTAACACTTAAAATGAGGTAGGTTTGGGTGCAGAAGCTCCTTGTGTCTGTCAGGGGGCCGGGGCGCGCTCGGCCACGCACACAAACAGAAAGAGATCCAAGGAAGCGAGGGGGTCCCGGCCGTTGGCGGCGGCAGCACGGGGCCCAGATTGTCAAGCTCAAGGAGTCCGTGTTACCTTGGTACGGAGCGAGCAAATGTTATTCCAAGTTTCTCGGTTCTAAAAAGCCGGGTCGGGCACTGAACTCGTTGCCTTCCCCACCGTCCTCGGCCCGCCCCAGCTCCGCTGAGGGGACTCCCCCCAACACGCATTGCCCCGGCCAAGGACTGAGAGAGGGTCTGGGGAGGGGGCAGGGGTGCCCCCCGCCCCATGTTTCTCCTTGCGGGACGAAGCCAAGAAAACCCTGAGTTGCCGGTTTGCCTGTCCCGCCGGAGCCTCCCAGTCCTGGCGACTGCCAGAAGGGCCTGGGAGCTGCTGCTGCTGCTCAGCGCAGGGGCTCCGAGGCGGCGTGCTGCCCTCTCCCCAGCCTCCTTTTTTTCTTTTTTCTTTTTTCTTTTTTTTCTCCTTTTTTTTCCCCGTTTCCCTCCCCCCCCAGCTAGTTCATCCACTTCCGGCAGTTCCAGGCTCCGCAGTGGCAGGGGATCTTGTGCTGATCGTCCTCGAAGTCGAACTGGTAGTCGTAGGTGAGCTGGGGGCAAGCGAGGAGTCATGCGGGGCACGGCCCGTGTCTCCCCCAGCCATGTACCCCAAAGGAAGACACCCCTCACACCCCCCTGCCCATCACCGCCCCGCGCTCCGGCCTGACCTCCTCGCCCTTGGGGATGCGCCGGCTGGAGATGATGATGATCTTGTCCTCTTTGTCAAAGGTCACAACTTCGGCCACGCAGTTGGGGGCACAGGAGTGATTAATGTACCTGCCGGTGACAGGGGGGAGGAGGGGGACACACATAGGCAGCATGAGGATGAGCCAGGCACACTGTCACCGTTGTCCCCAGGTACCACTGCCGCACTCCTCACCTGGCCGGGCCACCCGTCAGCGTGGCATCAATGACGTGCTCGTTGTTGATGCGGAACATGTAGATCCCCCGGTTCTGTGGGCAGATGGCAAGACAGCGTCACCCACTGCCCCTCGCCTGTCCCCTTGTCACCAGGACCGCCCCACAGCCCACTCACAACCCACCTGCTCCTCGTAGATCTTCTCCCGCCGGTTGGCCACCTCATTGCGGATGATGGTGCCGATGTACTCGATGACCATGGTGTGCTTCTCGATGTCCTTGGCTGCATAGAGCCCCAGGCCCTGGATGCGGGAGCGTGCCAGGTACACGTTGTTTTTCCACTCCGTCTTCAGGCGCCGGTACTGCGAGGACTTGGAGTGCACAAACTGCTTGCTGTAGGGCGTGTTGGTCTCGCCGGTGAAGGTGCTCTGGTAGGCCTTGGACATGCTTGTGCTGTTGAGGGTGTGGGGGCTGCCAAGGGGGCCGCGGGGAGGTCAGAGCAGCAGCGGTACGCGCTGCACCCCCCCACCGTGCTCCCCAGCTCACCGCTTGTAGTGGGTGAGGATCTTGGGCTCGGAGCGGGCGCAGCCCGTGGGGTTGATCATGAGCGGCAGCTCCATGAGTGGGTGCCGCCCATAGCGGAACAGGTAGTTCTGGCAGCTCTCAACACCGGGCAGCTGTCACGGAGGCACCATGGGGTTGAGCGGTGTCGCCACACGGGCCCCCGCAGCTGCCAGCCTCCCTCCTCCTGCACTGAAAGCCTCCCCGAGCTGCTTACCGACTCGGCGATGCGCAGCACCGCGTGCACTGTGAGGCCGAAGAGCTCCTCGCCCTTCAAGTACTCAGGGAAGAGCCGCAGCATGTCAGCTTCCTTCCTCATCATCGCCACCGGCTCGATGATCCGGTTCCAGACAGCTGCCGAGGGAAGACAGGGTGTAACAGAGGGACCCAAAAGCTTCCTAAGCGGGGACCCCGGATCACCCTGTTTTGCTGGTTTTCAAAACCAGCACCAGGGCCCTGATGGCTGGTGCTGGTTCATCTCATCACCGGATGGCAGGAACCTGGAGGAAGATCTGGCACCTGCGGAGCCCATTGAAACTCACCCTGTGGCGAGGAGTCAGAGAAGATCAGGTCTTCCAGGCCCTGCTCGATGACTTGCACCACAAACTCGGGGCGCCCGTTGTTCTCACAGATAGTGCAGCGGTAGCAGCAGCGGCGGTTGTTGGTCCGCAGGCTCCAGTAGATGCGTGTGGCCTCGTAGCCCACGGGGTAGAGCGCCGTGACGCTGTGGAAATCGGCCATCTGGTGCGGCAGGAGCTGCCCGATGGCGTGGAAGACCAGCCCGCCTACGCGGAACATGTGGAGCCGCTCACCGCGCTGGATGATGCTGGCGATCTGCTTCACCTCGTCCCGCTCGATGTAGACGCGCCGGAAGACCGTGAAGCTGCTCAGCTCCTGCTCGCAGGGGCCCTTGAGTTTGTGCAGGGGGCACAGCATTGTCTTGTCCTTGAAGAACATGCACTTGGCGCGGATGGCGCAGGCAAAGTGGTAGACACTGGGGCAGCGGATGCGGTTGCAGCTGTTGGTGGCGCCCGTTTTCTGGCAGAGCGAGCACTTAGTGAGCAGCCCGCGGTGCAGGGCCACCTCCACGTTGATAAGTGCCCCCCCCTGTGTCTCGTACACCTCCGTAGACCACAGGGCACAGTTCAGGTGGACCCAGAGGTCCAGGTCGAGGTTGAGCAGCCGGGCTGGGCCATCTGTGGCCCCGTCGCCCTCCTCGTGGCAGAAGCAGCACTTGCGCAGGTCCTGTGGCACCTTCTCGGGGCGCAGCGTGGTGCCCAGCTTTTCAATGAACTCCGCGATCTCCTTGTCACCATCCCGCTTGGCCCCCCCCTTCTGGATGGTAACGAGGAAGCGGAGCCGTTTCCACCGCACTCCCTTCCACTTCTTCAGCCGTGGCCGCGCATCGTCCCCATCTTCCGGGGGCCGCGAGCGTGGCTTGAAACGGGGCGGTGATGGGGCAGCCGCGGCACCAACGTCCCGCGGCGACGGGGCCGGCGGCGCCGGGGACGCCGGGGCGGCCTTATGGGCGGCCTCAGGGTCGGGGACGCGGGCAGCCTCGACGGGGCTGGCCGGGGAGGGAACGGAGGGGGACAGCGGGGGCGAGGGCTCCTGGGGCATGGCCGAGAGCTGCCGCACATCCAGGTTGGAGACATTGTGGACGTAGCAGTGGTGCAGGGTCTTGTCAGGTGCGGGAGTCTCCTGCAGCGCAGAGGACACAGGTCAGAGTGCCCCAGGGATACAGGTCCCAGGTCCTGGCCCACGGTCCTACCTCCCCTTCCGCGCACCGTGGGATAACTCAGGGCCACAAGGACCCCCGCACCTCTCCCCAAGGCCACCGGGCTCTTAGCTCCAGAGGACCCTCCTGCAGGACCCTAGTCCTACTGAGACCCCCATGCAAGCCCAGATAAGACAAGACCCCTCAACACACCTCTCCTCGCACCACAGCCTCCCAAGGACCAACCTCCTGCACCACTAAACAACCTCAAGGGGACCCCCCGCACGCCACTGACCTGTTTGAGCAGCGTCAGGAGGTCCAGCTCGCCCTTGAGGCTGTAGCCTGGTAGCACCGCATCAAACTGTTTCAGCCACTCGGAGCTGCTGTCTGGCCCCTTCCCAGCCAGCGCTGCCTTCTCCTTGCTGCCGAGCATCCCTGAGGGAGAGCCAGGTTGGCAGGAGGGGTGCACGGGGCTGGGCGGCCAGGGCCGTGGCAGGCACTCACCAGTCACGTCTGTCTCCACCTTCTTGGCTTCCACCACAGCCCCTCGCATGGGGCTGTCTGGAAACAGCACCTCATAGGAGCTGGGGATCTTCATGCTCAGCAGCTCGGCCATGGCCACCATGACCCCGTTGAGGTTCTGCGTGAGAGGAGGTGGCAGCCATGAGGGACGGGGGTCCTGCTACCGTGCAGGGATCCCGGCACTACGTCCTGCCTCGGGCCGCCCCCTGGCTCACCTTGGCGGCTGCAGCCGACACCGTCAGCATGACGGAGACCTCGCTGCCCTTGGCCTTTTCCCATGGAGCACCTGGGCCCACCGGGCCCGCCTTCCCAGCAGGTGCTCCGAAGGGCTCCGCCGACTCGTAGGGCTTCATCTCAGGGAACACTGGCAGGGGAAAAAGGGGTCAGAGCCGCGTGGCCTAGCGCTGCCGATGGGCTCCAGCACGGAGACGCTGCAGGGAATTCCCTGCTTCTCAGTGCGGCGGGGGAGACTGGGATGCAGTGCAGGGATGGGGAGCTGCCAGCACCACCAGAACAGCCCAGTCTTGACTCAGGGGACAGGCACAGGGCTAGATCTAGCCCACATATCCCACAGATGCTTATTATACCTACAGATCCTCCTCTGCCCAGCCTTGCCCTTACCCAGCTTCCTACCAGATGCCCCATGGAAACCTCCCAGATGCTTCATGCACCCCTTTGCGCCCAACCTACCCACCCAACCTCCGAACACACCTGGGCTCCCCCTGCACACTCTGTACACTCTGCAGACCCTGCATGGACCCTGCACAGCCCCTGGCCCGATGCAGCCCACCTGGGATGCTGGCACGCGGAATGATGGGGATGATGGGCGAGAGCACTCGCTCCTCTAGCTCCGGCTTGGCCTCACTGAGCAGCGGGAAGCGCAGCAGCTCCTCGCCCAGGACACTTTCGGGCGATGAGGCCGGCACAATGCTGTCAGGAGAGTCGCTCTCATCGTCGCTCTCCATCCTGGGGGTGGGGATGGAAGACAGGAGGCATCAGGGCCCCGGCTGCATTCAATGGGATGGCACCGGGGACCATGCGGGGACTCACCTGACGTCCTCGGTCTGGTTGTGCGGAGGGGTGGGCAGGGCTGCCAGCAGGTCCAGGCTCTTCACTTCCACGGCCGGAGCATCTGCAGAGGGAAAATCTGGGTCTTATGGGAGCACCGTGCACCACTGCGGTGCCGGCACCACCACCTTGCACTCACCTTTGTGGCCGTGGGGCTCACGGTCCGGCTCGGCCTCCTTGGGCTGCTCGGCCAGTTCCTCTGCAGCCGTGACGCCGTTCACCAGCTTCTGCTGCACGGATGGTGGCGGCGTCGGGGGCAGCGATGAGGGTGGCGTGGGTGGGTTGCTGAGGTTGTTCTGCAGCGTGGGGGACATTGGTGGTGAGCCCAGGGACGTCGTTGACCCCAGCGGGGGACCCCCAAGGGCGCTGGCCTCACCTTGGTGAGCAGCTGTGAGTAGTAGTCTGGCACGCTGTCGAGCACCGCACTGCCGAAGGCGCCGCGCAGTTGGCTCTTGCCATTGAGGGCGCTGCTGCCAAAGGGCGCGAAGAGGCTGAAGTTGGCTGTGATGGTCGGCTCCGTGAGCGGCAGCAATGACAGCTCCTGGGGACAGAGCCGAGTGAGCAGGGGACACCTCGCGCCCGCTGCCGCCACCCCTGGCCGTAGCCTTACCTGTTTGAGCTGCCTCATCAGGGCCTCGCCGGACCTGAGTCCATCGTCCTTGCGCAGCTTCTTGCGCGACACCGGGACCCGTTCGCTGCCCTTCTGCACACGCTTGGGCTTGGCGGCTACCGGTTTCTTAGCCAGGGAGGGATCCTAGTGTGTGGGGGGGAACGCAGAGGTGACAAGGCCAGACACAATTGCGAGGACGTCCCCACCGCAGGTGTCCCCAGCACCCCACTCACCTCGCGGCCCGGCAGCGCAGGGGGCTGCTGTGCAGTGCCCCGGCTCTCCGCATGCCCGTTGAGCTCGCCGGGACTCTGTGCCGCCAGCTGCACGTTCTTGGCGCGCAGCAGCTTCTGCAGCAGCAGGTGCCCAGCCTCGGAGCGGCCACCGAGGCCTGGGGGGCTGCCAGCCAGGGCGCCCCCCACCGCATCCCCGTTGGCCTCTGGCTTCACTGGCTCCTGAGGCTCTGGCTCGCGTGCAGCAGCTGGCAAGGCCGTCTCCTCCCTGGGCTCCTGCTTGACGGGGAGCTGTGGGCACTCATCAGGGGTCCCCTCCACCCCCTGCCCGTTGACAGAGGTTTCAGCCACGTCGTCATCAAGCGCCGGTGGCTCCGAGCCCCAGGGGCTCTGGGGCAGCTCCAGGGGGGCGACGGGGCTGGGGGCCAAGCCCCCCGTGGTGGTTGGCGTCGGCGTCTTTGGCTCGTGGGGGCTCTGCTCAGGGCTGGGCTGGGAGTCCAGGGGTGACAGGGCTGGCGGCGTTGAGAGCCGCACGAAGCCGGGCTGGGGGCCACGAGTGGCCAGTGCCGCCTGCACCAGCTCGGCCAGAGGCTGCTGTCCTGGCTGCGACCGCCCGCCAGTCCCCGGATCAGCGGCGAATCCGGTTGGCGCCTCTGTCAGGACTGGCGGCCGCACCGGGAACTGTGGCCGGGAGGGCTGGCGTCCTGGCGGGAGCCCCTGCTCTGGCACCGTCCCGGGGAAGGGCCCAGACTGCCGCAGCGCCTGGTTCTGCTGCAGGAGGCTCTGTTGGTGCCGTTGCACCAGGAGGGCCTGCAGCTGCTGCTGCTGCTGCGGTGTGAGGTGCCGCAGTTGAGGGTTCTTAGCCAGGACGCCCTGCAGCTGTGCCCGGATCTGGCCCATCACCGGTGCTGGCACCGGCCCCAGGATGCTCGGCGGGAGTGTCGGCGCAGGCTGCGGTGCCGGCCCTGCTTTTTGCTGCCCGGGGCTCTGGAGCCGCGGCGGCGGCAGCGCTCCGCTGCCCGGTAGCCCCTTGCCCGGCTGCTCGGGGCTGGGGGGCTGCGGCGCAGGTGGCAGCTCCGTCACGAGAGCGGAGCCGGCAACGTCCCCGTGCGACTGCGGCAGCTCTGGCCTGGCCGCACCAGGGCTCGGCAGCGGCTGGTGGAGCAGCCGAGCGGAGGTGCCCAGGCTGCCTGGTTGTGGCGAGGCCAACAGCAGCTGCTGGCCCTGCCCCAGCTCAGTTGGGTGCTTAGGGGCCGTCGGGAGCCCCAGTACAGCCGGGGACTCCGCAGCACCCAGCCCCGGGGCTCCCTGTGGCTCTGGGGGGCCCTCGGTGCCCTCGGCAGGCGGCCCGTCCATCGGCTGCTCCTTGCCTGCTGCAAGCGGCTGCATCCCCTGTGCCAGCTGCAGCCCAGAGGGGGCCTGGCCGGGCACCCGGGGCTGCGCAAAGTGCTGCAGCGGGGCTTGCGGTGGGTGCAGCGGCTGCCCCAACACCAGCCGGTGCCCCAGCATCGCAGGCGACTGCGGTGCCAGCTGGGGTGAGCCCAGCACCCGCTGCTGCTGCTGCTGTTGCTGGGGGGTCAGCAGCAGCGGGCGCTGCGGGGCCCCAGAGCCCAGGCCGCTGGGGTGCTGCAGTGCTGGGGTCTGCGCGTGGCCCAGCAAGGCCGGTGGCTGTGGAGAGAGCTGCTGCACCAGCAGGCTCTGCGGCAGCGCCGGCTGCTTTGGGCCCACAGGCTGCCCGATGGCCCCCTGCGCCGGGGGGGCTGCCACCTGCTGCACCCCCAGGCCGGGTTGCTGCATGGGGGGTTGCTGCGGCAGCGGTGGCTGCGCCAGGCTGCCTGCTGGCTGCATCGCTGGCTGTGCCATAAGGCCCTGCGGCTGCAGCGAGGGCTGCGGCAGGATGCCTGGTTGCTGCAGAGCTGTTTGTCCCATGACACCCGACTGCTGCAGTGACGCCTGCGCCATGATGCCCTGTGGCTGCATCGATGCCTGTCCCACAGCACCTGGTTGCTGCATTGACACTTGTCCCATGACACTTGTCTGCTGCATGGATGTCTGTCCCATAACACCTGGTGGCTGCATTGACGTCTGTCCCATAACGCCTGGTTGCTGCATTGTCTGACCCATAACGCCTGGTTGTTGCATTGACACCTGTCCCAAGACGCCTGGTTGCTGCATTGATGCCTGTCCCATGATGCCTGATTGTTGCATTGACACTTGGCCCAAAACACCCGTTTGCTGCATCGATGCCTGTCCCGCCATGCTCGGCTGTTGAATTGACATCTGTCCCATAACACCCGTCTGCTGCATTGACACCTGTCCCATAACACCTGGTTGTTGCATCGATGCCTGTCCCATGATGCCCGGTTGTTGCATTGATGTCTGTCCCATGATGCCCGGTGGCTGCTGCTGCTGCTGCAAGGACACCTGCCCCAGCATGTTCTGCTGCTGCTGCTGCTGCAGCTTCTGGGCCAACTGCATCCTCTGAAGCTGTCTCTCCTGCATCAAGCGGTTGTCAGCAGCCAACCCACGGAGCGCGGGGTTCCCGGGGAAGAAAGTGCTGGATGTTCCGGGCACTGGGGCGCTGCCCACGGCCTGCTGGCCCATGAAGGACAGGCCCTGTGGCACAGCCATGGACACGCCACCCTGGGGCAGGCGCAGGCCCCCGGGCTGCCCTGACTGTTGGCCCAGGCCCTGTGCAGCTGCTGCAGGCTGTGAGAGCGGCTGCTGGACGCCGTGCGCCGAGAGCAGCTGCCCGGGAAGTTTAGACATGAGGCGGGGGCTCTGCGAGGGGCTCAGGGCCATGACGGCCGACCCTTGGTGCTGCTGCTGATGCTGCTGCTGCTGCTTGTTGCGGTACTCGGCCATGAGGTTCGTGTGCTCCTTCTGCTGCTTCCGCACCTGCCAGGCATGGTGGTGGCGTCAGCCCCACAGAGAGAGAGGGCTGTCCCACGCGTGCGCACAACACCTACCTGATCCAGCTGCTTCTGGATTTTGCTCTGCTGCTCCGTCACCAGCTTGAGCTTCTCAGCATCGGCCTCAGGGAACTCGCGGCCAGCCTTCTTGGCTGTGCGCTGCTTGGCACACAGGGCTTTGCGCGACTTGCGGTGCGCCCCGATCTGCTCCTCCAGCACCTTGAGCTGCATCTGCAGCAGCTGCTGCGTGTGGAAGAGCCACTCCTCATACTGCCGCTGGTCAGCCTCGTCTGCGGGCGGCAAGAGGACTCTGCTCAGCAGGCAGCCCCCAGGGCCACCCCCCAGAGCCACCCCTCAGGGCCACCGTGCTACTCACTGATGACACCCTGCGCGAAGGCGGGCGGGTTGGGGCGAGCCTGGGTCGAGTCCGTGCCGCTCCGCTCCTAGCGTGGAGGGCAGACGGCCATGAGGAGCCGGGCCATGTCCCCAGTGCCCTCCCGTCCCCTTGCTGCTAGCACAGGGTGGCACAGAGGCGCTGAGCAGAGCAGCTTGCCCGGCTCCTCCACGCGCCGCGCTCACCTGCCCGCCTCCTGCCACCATGTGGTTCTGCATCTCTGAGACTGCCGGCGCTCCCGAGAGCCGCTGGGCCAGCAGGGAAACCTGTTGCCTTGGGGATTGACATGGAAAGGAGAAGGAATAAGCCAGGGTGGGGGTGCTGTGGCCGCCCATGGATGCCCCCGCTGCACCCCTTACCTGTTCATTCCTGGAGCCACCCCAATGCTGCCCTGAGCCATCACCTTCTTGATGCCCTTCAGTGCTACCATCTTTGCCTTGGCGATGGGGTCCATGATGTCCTCGGCAGCAAATTTATCCAGATCTGCCACGAGAGGCACCCCCGGGTTAACCTGGGCTGTACCAGGGATGCCGCAGGCCCAAATAGAATGGTCAGAACGGCCCCATTTCCTGGCAGGGCTCCCAAAAGCAGCCATGTCCCTCGTGTCCCCTGTTGCAGGCGGGGCCAGCATCACCACGCGCCCAGTGCCTACCTGTGTCGGGGAAGAAGCTGTTGGCGAGTTGCTGCTGCATGACGAGCTGCGGCGGCTTCAGCCCCAGGCCAGGTGGCTGCCCGGCACCCATTGGCTTCTGCATGAGCACAGGCTGCTGGCCCTGTTGCGGTGGCAGGGCCACCTGCACACCGTGGGGGGCTGCCAGCACATGGGGCTGCGCCGGGGCCATGCCCATGTGCCCGGCCAGGGGTAGGCCCTGCTGCGGCCCCCCGAGCCGCGACTGCTGCGGCTGCAGGAGCTGCTGTCGGGCCATGAGTCCCAGCTGCAAGGTTGGCTGCGGGGTGCCCAGGCGGGGGCCCTGCCCCTCGGGGGGCTGCCCCGGCGCCCCAGGGTGCAGCAGCGGGTGGCCTGCGGCTGGGAGGTGCTGCGGGGCGCCACGGGGCAGCTGCACCGACATCTGCTGCTTTTTCTGCAGCTCCTTCTTCTCATGCTCCAGCAGGTCCTCGATGAGCAGGGGCAGCTCGCTGGCCACCAGCGAGCTCTCCATCTTGTCCAGATCATCGGCTGGTGAGTGTCGGGCACTGCCCAAGCCCAGGGCACCTCCATCCAGCTCGAATTTCTCCAGCAAGGGGCTGCCCTGGTTGCCTAGTGGGGCCAGCACGCGGCCAGGGCCAGAGTAGGGGTCCTTGTCCAGCACCGGGACCCCCGCGTGGCCACTGCTCGGGAAGTGAGTCAAGCCCAAGCGAGCCGGGCCAGCCCCAGGGTTCAGGAGGCTCTGGCCCGATTTCAGCGTCAGTTCGAGGGAGACAGAGATTTTATCCGGGCCCTGCAGGGCCTCCGACTTGACGGGCATGGAGAGGCGCTCGGGGCCGGTGAACTGGCACGGCGATGTCTTCAGGCAGCCATCCTCCAGCTTGGGTTTGACGTCGGTGGGCAGTGCGCCTGCCTTCGCTTCCAGGCCCTGTGCCTTGAAGGCCACGTCTGGGGCCAGCGTGGCACCCGGAGCGGCCCCCACAGCCACCCCCGGTGCCAGCCCTTCTTTGGCCACTTCCCGGGCCTCTGTGGCTGCATCCTTACTGTCCCCAGTCTCTGGGAGCTTCGAGGTGGGCACTGGGGGCTCCGTCTTGAGCTGGGCTTCGCGCTCGGCCTTCTCGTTGGCCGACTCGACGAGGCGCAGGTGCTCATTGAAGATGTCCTTCTTGTCACCCGTGTCCAGCTCGGGGTCAGTGTAGGCCAGCAGGTCGAACTCATCTCCATTCAGCAAGTCATCAAGGTGGGGATCCGCCGTCTCCAGACTGTCCAGGTTGTCCAGGTCATCGTCCCCTTTCGCCACATCTGGGTCCAGGCTCAGGTTGGCCAAATCATCGTCTTCCAGGTCCTTATGGGAGCCGAAGTCATCGTCCAAGTCAGGCTCCACAGCCACCTCGCAGGGCAGCCGCCCCCCTTCTAGGCTCAAATGGCTCTTGCCCGGGGCAGGAGCCGGCACGGGCTCTGGTGCGGGACTGTCCTTGGGGCCCTCGGGGCGGAGGGGGGCGCTGGGGGGCAGCGGGCGCGGAGCCACGTGCTGCAGCTCCAGGCCAGGCGTGGGGACGGTAGCCTTAGCCAGCGGCTGCTGATGGCTGTTGCCCATCTTGGCGCCTTGCGGGGAGGCGGGCGGCAGCACCATCGACATTTTGGGGGGCTGCAGCGTCGGCGTGGAAAGAGCCTGTACGGGCATCACTGGGGCGCAGATGCCCTGCGGGGCTCCCTCGTCACCTGGCAGGAAAAAACGGGGCCGGGGCGGCTGGGGGACAAAGGGGGAGCCCACAACGTTGCCAGGTCCCTTCTGCACATTGTGCCGCAGCTCGATGAAGGGGGCACCCAGCGGGCTGGGCGCAGCGGCCACGGGCTCGGCGGGCGCTGGCAGGCGAGTGCCCAGGGTGCCGGCAGCCGGCGGGGCGAAGCGGGAGGTGACTGGGAGCCGCAGGGCCGCGTGTTGCTGCTGCTGCTGCTGCTGCCAGAGGTGCTGCTGCTGCTGCAGGGACGGCGCTGGGAAGACGCCTCGCGAATAGAAGGCCGGGGGGGGCCCCACTGCTGCCCTGCAAGGCACAGTGGCATCAACATCGGCTCAGCACTGCCTGACCTCCCGCTGCAGCTGTAACACCGCTTAGGTGCCCTGGCATGGCCCAAAGCACTCGGGGCAGCAAGGGGAAAGTGCAGCCACCCCCTTGGCGCTCGGAATCCCACTCGGTCGCTGCCGAGGGGACGGAGTCACAACCGCAACGACCTCTGAGCAGGACAGGCCCAGTGGGAATGGCCGCCTGGGTCCCTCTGCATGCTCACCTGCTGTTGATGTCCAGGGCGGCCGGTGTGGTGGCCGGCGGGGGCCGCGCGATCCGCTCATCCTGCGTGAACGCTGCCTGCACCGGGACGGGCAGCTTGGCGGTGCCAGCCAGCGGCCCCAGGAGGCTCTTGTCCTGGGAGGGCAGCAGAGGAGCTGGTGTCACCTGCAGCACCTACTGCCACCCTGGCCCTCTGCGCGGCCCTGGCCCTACCTGTGCCGGCTGGTAGGGCGCCATGCCGAAAGCCTGACCGCTGGGCTCGGGCACCCAGCCTGCTGGTCCCGCTGCTGCAGCGGCGCTCTCCTTCTCCTGCCGCAGGCTGTTGCGCTGGATCTGCTGGCGGATGAGCAGCTCACGCAGCCGCTGGCGCTGGGGACAAGATGGGCGTTAGGGCACCCAGCAGGTCCAATGCAAGGAGACTCGGGCAGGGCGATGATGCAGGGCAGGAACACAGACCCCACAGCACCCACGGGTACCTCGAGCACCCAATCACTGGGCTGCACCAGCCCATCCCCATGAAGGCACCTGTTGTTTCTCCATAGCTCTAGCGAAGGCCAGAGCTGGTCCCCCCATTCCCACCGCTCCAGAGGCTCCCCTTCCAGGCTCAGCTTGCAGATAGATGGTGACTGGACGCGGACAACGCGTGCGAGCCCTCACCTGCCTCTGCTTCTCCAGCTCCGACTGGCTCATGGCGCCCAGGGCTCCATCCTGTGCGCTTGGCAGCTCGCCTAGGTCGCGGTTCAGCGGTGCCGACAGTGCGGTGGTCGCCGCCACCTCCCGCTTGTCGGCCGGCGTCGTCAGCACCGCAGCTCGGGGCACGTAGGCGACCGAGGCATCCTGCGGCTGCGGGGCACTCGGCGACGCCTGTGGCAGCACCGAGGGTGGCCGCAGGGGCGAGAGGCTGTAGGTCTCGGCAGCGCCCGCGCCTGGCCCCAATGGGCTGCCTGCCTGGTGGAAACTGGGGGACGAGGTGTACCCCGCGCTCTGGGGTTTGCTGGGGACGTAATGGCTGTTGAGCCCGTGCAGCTGGTGGGACGGGGAGCCTTTGAGCGGCTCAGAGACAGCCGGGGGGAAAGTGAAGCGCATGGGGGGTTGCCCGGTGGTGAAGATGCCGGCGCCGGGCGAGCGGGCAAAGGGCGGCTGCTGCGGCACGCCTGGTGCCTTGGCCGGGGGCTCGCCCGTCGCAGCACCCCCGAAGCCCCCGCTGCCCGCTGGGCTGTGCGACAGCGGCGCCGCAGGCAGTTGCGCCCGGGGGGGCTTGTGCAAAGGGGTGAAGGGGTCCCGGGACTGGGGCCGCGAGGGCGGCTGGGAATAAGGGTCGGGGGACTGGAAGCGAGGGGTGACGGGCGACTGGCAAAAAGCCTCATTGGAGAGAGGCCGGGGCGTGAGGGGCGACTGGGAGCTCGATTGTGATTGGGGGCTGGCGGGGATGCGGGAGAAGGGCTCGGAGGGCAGCGAGCGGGGCGGAGCGGTGCAGCAGCCCTCGGGGGGCTGCGGCCGCGGCGTCAGCGGCGGCTGCGCGTACGGGTCCGAGTAGGGCGACTGGCGGAACAGGTCGGCGTGCCCGGGGGGTGACGGGGCCAGTGGGTGGGCATCAGGGGGCCGGTGTCCCAGCCCCGGGCTCTGCGGCTCTACCTGAGATACCCGTGGGGTCAGGGGGGCTTTGAAGACGTCGGCCACCTTGAGCTCCGTGCTGGGGATGTGGGTGCAGCCCGGGGAGTCGCTGTAGCCCGTAGCAGGGACATAGCCAGGCGAGCAGACCCCCAAGGCCCCCCCGTCCTCCTTCTTCACTTCAAGGCCCTTCTTCTGCTCGCTGAAGGGTAGGGGCGAGAGCAGGGCCTCGGGGGGCCGGGCCCCGGGGCTCCCCGGCCCCGACAGGTTGTCCAAGGAAGGGCAGCGGGGCTTGAGGAAGGGGTCGGGGGTGCCAGATTGGTGCCGGGGGGTGCCCGGCGGCGTGGGGTGGAAATCGGGGGGCTGGGTGCGAGCTCCAGCCAGGGGCTGCCCTGGGAAGGGCTGAAAGGCAGCGCCCACCGTGGGGCTCTGGCCCAAGGGTGAGGGGAAGCGCGGCTCCGGCGCGTAGGAACCCGCGGCGCCGTAGGGATCGTGCGAAGGCACTTGGGCAGGAGACTGGGGCGGCAGCTTGAGGAAGAGCTCGCTGGGAGACTCTGGCCCTGCTCCAGTGCCCGCTGGCGGCTTCAGGAAGCCCTCGCCCACGCCCGGCGGGCTGCCCATGTAGACGGGCTGGGCCCCCGGCGGCACCGGGATGCGCAGGTGCAGCGAGGGCCTCTCGGGCTTGCGCAGTCCCTCCCCTTTGGTCTGCTTGTTGATCTGGCTCTCGGCCTGCTGCAGAGAGAGCCAGGGGCATCAGGGCCACAGGGGGACCTGCACATTCCCTCCCCACAGTCTGGGCAAGGGGCGAAGGGGGCAGGAGGTGGCCAGGGCTCCCGGGAGCACCAAGTGCCTCTCCAACACATACCTTCTGCACCTTGTTGATACGATGGGCTGCCCGGTTATCTTTGGCCTTTTGCTAACGGAAACACAAAGCCGGGTGATGGGCGGGCCCGGAGACCTGGATGTCCCAGCCCAGCAGTGGCCAGGCAGCACTCACCAAATAGGGGGCTTTGTCTGTGGCAGGGACCTTCCTCCAGAGCTTCATGATCTGTTTGCAGCGGCTCGACCAGTCTGGGAGTCCAGCGGAAACAAACGACACAGGTGGAGGGAAAAGGTACGTTAGTCTGTGCCCAAGGAGCCCAGCCTCATCCTTGGTGGGCGACTGTTGCCTTTCCCGATGGGAACACAGAAAAGAGCAGCCGTGATGACAGGCACGCTACGTTGTGCCCAGCTTCCTGTCCCACTTAGGCTGCGGCAGCCGCTTACCTGGATAATCTTGCTTGAGATTGGGGAAGTTCATGTTGGCATAGAGCACAGGCGAGATGGTGGAGAGCTCGCCCAGCTCCTCATCCTTCTCCCAGCGCTGCAGGCTGCGCTGGTTGTAGGACAGGCCGTCGCCCTCACCCTCCGTGGTGGGTGTTGTGGGCGTCGAGGGGGTGGTGGCGGCCGAGCTGCTGGCCCAGGGGCTTTCAGGCTCACAGTGCTCCGGGCTGAAGAAGCCGCTCCGCTCCCTGCATGGGAAAAGAGGGTGTCACGGGTGGGCAGGGAATGGGGAAAGAGGGGGTCCCATGGGACAAACCCCAGTGCCCCTGGCCCTCCACGTACCTGTTATCAAGGAACGGCGATTGACAGACACCAGGATACGAATCCAGAGAGACAGAGCCAGAGAGCGAGCCCAGCGAAATGCTCCCTGCAAGGGAAGACAGAGGGGGCTGCAGAGGGGGTGCAGAGCCGGGCACAACCCAGCACCTGCTCCCAGGAGCCCAGCAGCCCTTGAGCACCGCGAAGGCTTCCCCACCGCTCCAAAACACTCTTCACCTTCCTGCCCAAAGCCGCGCAGACATCCAGGAGTCGGGGAGGGGAGGACAGAGCGCAGATGGGGACGGAGGAGCACAGGCTTTTTCCCAAGGTGTGGGGCCGGGGGGTGGTAAGTCCTGCCCTTCTCCCTGCTCCCGCCGGGGCTTCCCCGAGGTGCCGCATCTGGCCCTGGAGGTCGTGCCACCTCCACCCACCCTGTCCCGGCAGCTGGAGGTCTCCTTGCAGGAAGGGCCGCTGGGAGAGCGGTGCCCGGCTGGGGTCCTGCCCTCCGACGCCGGCCTCCATGCCTGCAGCCACGCAGTTCAGGGGCTGCTCCCCGCGCTCCGCGGAGCCCAGCACATCCTTGAAGAGCTGCTGGACGTCTTTGCTCTCCATTTTGGGCAGCTCTGCACAGGGAGGGGAGAAGAGGCGCGGGGGCGATGGCGGGCGCCGCGCCGAGCTCGCCCTTGCACGCTGCCGGGACCTGGGAAAGGAGCCCGGGAAGGGGAAGGGGGGAATCCTGGTTCCGAGTGCCCCTGGTGCCCACCCTCCTATATCCTCAGTGGTGAGGGAGCCGGGAATGTGGCGAGGGAGTCGGGAATGCGGCAAGGGGGCCTGGCTGCAGCTCCCAGTGCTCTGCCCCCTGGAGCAGGGCCACGCGGGGACCCGTTGACCTGGTTCCCGCCTCTGCAGGGCTGGCTCCGCGCTCACCTTCCGTAGGGATCTTGTCCAGGTCGGAGCTGAGGGCACCCTCGCCGGGAGTTGCTGGTTTCTCAGTGTCCCCGGGGTCTGGAGAATCCTTCGGATCTTCAGTCCCTGGGAGGAGGGGAAAGCAGCATGAGACTCTGAGCACCCAGCCAGGACCTAGGAACCCCGTCCAGGCTCAGCCCCCATGCCGGGACCCCTAACTGTGCTCAGCCTTGCTCTGGGGCTGCAGACCCCTGGCCAAACCCTCAGCTCCCACCTCCAGGACCCCCATCCAGGATCAGCCCCTCCTTGGGACTCAGAGCCACTTCCTAGTCCCACCCCGGCCTCTACCCCTGCTCTGCACCACTGTGCTGTTCATTCAACCCCCTCAAAAAGGGGTTCCAATGGGGATCCCACCCTCCCCATCACCCCCATGGGACCACTCTCTCTTGCCCCATCATGCAGACGCAGCCATGGGGCTGGTCGGAGCGTCCCAGCCCTCTCTGTAGCCCCCCGGAGCCCTCCCCGTTGCTCCTGACCCCCCAGCCCGGCCGACGGGAGGACGCGCCCCCGCGCACACAGCCGGGCAAGACGCGCCACAGGAGGGCGCGCTAGGCTGCAACTCTATGGTAACTGCAGCACTCTATGGTTTTGCACGGTGGAAAAGCATGCTGGGAGACCATAGAGGTTCCTCCCGCCCCGCCTAGAGTAGGCCCGTCAGCCATAGAGACGCGCGGGAAAGAACACCCTACGCACATCTCTATGGTGATCGGCAGGGACGATCTAGGCCACGTTTCGATGGCCATGGGAGGACTCCGTTTTGCGAGGAGCCCCCTCCCCAAACAGGAAACCTCACGCTACCCTAGGACCGCGTATACATGCCGAGGGGTCCCCGGAACTCACCCAGGTCCTCGGCCTTCGCCTCATCCTTGCCGTCATCATCAGGGGCTGCGGCACTGCCGTCGGTGCTGTCGTCCCCTGGCAGGTGACAAGGGGGGTTAGGACACGCCGCAGAGGATTCAGCAGCCCCCCGAGTCTTCCAACAACCCTCACGTCTTCCTCGACAGCCCTCAACAACCCCTGCAGCCCCCAACAATCCACAGCATTCCTGGGGACCCCCAACAACCCAAGGCAACCGTGGTAACCCCCAACAACCCAAGAGGCCACCAAAAACCCGCAGCTCCCGTGGCAACTCCCAGCCTCCATTAGAGTCCTCCAAAAACTCTTTGCTTCCTCCAACCATCCCCAACCTCCACGATAACCCCCAGTACCCCCCACCCAAGTCCTCCAACAGGCGCAGACACTCACCCCGGGGGTGTGTGGGGGTCTCCCTCCTCTCCAAGGGCCCCCCTGGCAGCGCCCCGGCCACGCTGGGGTCCCCTTTGGGCCGCGGGGCGCCCTGGCCCAGGCAGGGCCGGGCAGCCCCGTCCCCAACGCCGCCGGCCGCCAGCAGTGCCTTCCGGCTCAGGTCCATGAGCGCCTTCCCGAAAAACGCCTCCTGTGCAGGAAGGGCCCGTCAGTGGCGTGGGAGCCCCCGGATGTCTCATGACAGCTCCGCTCTGGACACACCAGCCTAGTGCTGCCGTGCCCACCCATGCAACCATCCATCCATCCATCCCTCCCAGCACCACCTCTATCCGTCTGTGCATTCCTCCCAGCACCACCTCCGTCTGTCCAACCTTCCCAGCGCCATCTCCATCCATGCCGTTCATCCCAGCACCATCCCTAGTCATTCATCCATTCTAGCACCATCTCCATCCATCCCTCCATCCCAGTGCCACCACTACCACAACCCCCAGCCATTTCCACCTGGAGGTAGGGAGGGAACATGTCCTCCAACTTGCTCTTCTTCCGTCCCCGACGCTTCTTCTTCTCGTCCCCTTCTCCCGAGGCTGGATCCAGGCCACCCTCCGCTGGGACATCCCCCGCCGGAGGCCCTGGGAACACCATCCCCATGATCATCAGCCCCCAAAGGAGCCCAGGGCAACACCCAGCCTGCAGGAGAGCCTCAGGCAGGACACCCCATATGCCCATGGGCATCCCCCAGGATGGGTGAAGGAAAGGCGTCAGGGATCCTACCGTCCTCCGGGTGCCCCTCGGTACTCAGCCCCTCGCGCCCCACTTCGGGCAGTGAGGCCGAGACCTTCTTGAGGCGGGTGTGGGACTTGCGCTGCCGCACCATGAAGCCACCGATGCCTGACGGGAGACAGCAGGGGTCATGGCGGGGCCCATCGTGGGGTCCCCACCCAGCCCCCCACAGCGCTCACCGGGGCGGTACGGCTTGCGCTTCCTCTTCTTGCTCTCCTCCGGATCCTCCAGCCCCTTGCCCAAGTCGGCGTCGGCGCTGCCGTCGCGCTCAGGACTGGCCGAAGCCTCCAGCTTGATCTCACACTCCATGTGCTCGACACCCACTGCAAGGTCAGGGGTGTCACCGGCACCTCCTGCACCCGCCTCTGTGTCCCCATCCCGCCTCGCAGCGGGAATCTCTCACCTTCAGCCTTCAGCAGGTCCTCAGCGTCCAGGTCTCCGTCCTTCTTGTCGTCCGGGCCCAGCGCATCGCTGCCCTCCAGGACACTGTCACCATTGAGGGTGCCAGGGCGCGCGGCCTTGCGTTGCCGCCGCTTGTGCAGCGGTGACATGGAGAGGTTGCGGAGCACGGCCATGCCCGTCTCTGTCAGCCACACACCCTCGAAGCGGAAGTACTGGGGCTCTGCCAGGAGGGAAAGCAGCAGCACTGGGCACAGCCGCCTCCAGCCATCCCAGGGCTATCTCCATCCATCCATCCATCCATCCATCCATCAATGCGCCATCTCCCTCCATCCATCGATGCACCATCTCCATCCATCCATCAATGCCAGTGTCACCATTTTCATCCATCCATCCATCCATCCCAGCACCACCTCCATTTGTTTGTCCAGCTATCCCAGCACCACCATCTCCATCTGTCCACTCACCACCTCTCTGTATATCTCAACACTACCACCTTCTTTACCCCTCCATCCATCCAGTCCAGCATCATCTCCATCCATCCATCCCTCCCTCCATCCCAGCACCATCTCCCTCCATCCCTTCCTCCCTCTCAATGCTACCACTATGTCTATCCACCCCAGCACTGTCTCCATCCATCCATCCATCCATCCATCCATCCATCCATCCATCCATCCATCCATCATCTCCCTCTATCCATCCCTCCCAATGCTACCACCACCTCTGGCCACCCAGCAGCGTCTCCACCCACCCACATAACCCAGCACCACCTCCACCCACCTCAGCACCACCACCTCCATCCCCACCAGCGCCTGTACCTGGCTCCTTGATTTTCACGGAGCCGATCTCCAGAGGAGGCGCCGGCACTGCATAAAGAGAGCGGCCCACGTGAGTGCCCGCAGCGCCCCACGTGCTCCTGCCCGTCCCCACGCGCCCTGACGCTCACCGGCCGGCTTCACCACGTAGGGCTGGCAGGCGCTACAGTCGAAGCCTTCATCCGCCGCCTGTTCCACCTCCTCCTCTGTGAACAGGCTGTCGCACGCCGCGTGCAGCCACCTGTGGGCAGCGGCAGTGTCACAGGCACGGCTGGCAGTACAACACCCGCCGGGCGGCAGCCCGTGCTGCGGGACTCACCGCTCGCAGTGCCGGCACTGGATAAGCAGGTCGTCCTCCACATACTTCTCACGGCACACAGGGCACACGACGAGGCTGGCGCAAGGCGCGCAGTGCGTGTAGTTGTTCTGCCACTCGCAGTGGAAGCCGGGCGACGCGGCGCCGCACTGCACGCAGCACACACACCTGGCGGGCGCGCGGGCCCTCAGCATCTGCCCCGCACACCCCTCCCCACGCGCGCCCGGCACCCGCCCGCACCACTTGCACTTCCAGCCGCCCTTGGGCACAGTCTGCAGCGGCGGGTCCAGGCAGTACGTGTGATAGCTGATATCGCAGTCATCGCAGAGCAGCAAGCGTGATGGGTCGGACGCCTTGCCGCACACCTCGCACACGATGCACTCCACGCAGCGCCAGCCCTTCAGCAGCATCACCTTGGTGATCTGCGTGGGGAGGCAGCCGCGTGAGAGCGGCCCATGGCCACGCACCAGGACAGGGCACCGCACCAGGACAAAGCCACACACCGGGACATGGCCCGGGCTCATGGCCACGCACCAGGACAGGGTGCCGCACATGGCCATGTACCGGGACATGGCACGGCAACGCACCGGTACATGACACGGCTGCATGGCCATGCTCCAGGTACATTCATGCCATCCACTGGGCCATGGCATGGCCACACATCGGGACATGCTACAGTCATGAGGCCACACATCGCAACATGACATGGCTGTGTGGCCATGAACCTGGACACGACACGGCCACATAGCCCTGCACCAAGACACAGTATGGCCACAAGGCCACACACTGGAATATGGCCTGGCCTCATGGCCCCTCTCCAGGATGCAGTAAAGCCATAAAGGCCACACACTGTGTCATGGCACGGCTGTGTGCCATAACATGAATATGCACATGTTATAACATGTATAAGTACATGAGGGAGAATGTAGGGAGGAAGGGCCAAGCTTTTCTCAGTGGTGGCCAGTGACAGGACAAGGGGCAATGGGTGTAAGCTGAAACCCAGACAGTTCCATCTCCACATGAGAAGGAACTTCTTTACTGTGAGAGTGACAGAGCAGTGGAACAGGCTGCCCAGGGAGGTTGTGGAGTCTCCCTCTCTGGAGGTCTCCAAAACCCACCTGGATGTCATGCTGTGCCACATGCTCTAGGGGTGCCTGCTTGAGCAGGAAGGTTGGACGAGATGATCTCTAGAGGTCCCTTCCAACCTTGAACACTCTGTGATTCTGTGTGGCCATGCACCAGTAAATGGTATGGCTGTAAGGCCACACACTGGATCATGGCACAGCTGTGCACCAGTTGCACAGTATGGTCATATGGCCACGCACAAGTACACGGCCCCACCATGCACCAGGACAGACGTCTCCCCCCAGGCCTGGCCTGGCCACGGCCACCTGCAGATGCGGACAGCGCTCCCGACGTCCCTCACCTTGCTGTTGACACAGTAGGGGTGGTAGCACTGGGAACACTGGGAGCAGGCCAGGAGGTGCCCCTCGGCGCCGCGCCCGAAGCTGCCACACACCACGCACATGTCCTGCGGGAGAGAGGTGTGAGTGGAGCCCATGGCGGCGGCCGGCGTGCCCGGCCCGGTCCACTCACCTGCATGAGCACAAACTTGTCCGTGTTGGAGAAGAGGACCACCGTGTTCTGCATGGTGTCGTCGTCATCCTCGTCCTCCTCCTTGCTGGGCGAGCTCTCCACATCGGCAAGCTGCTGACAGAGCAAGGATGGGGACTCAGCACCAGCACGGCCACGCGGGGCACTAGCCCCAGCCTGATGCCAACCCAGGGGGGCAGCAGACCCCAAAGCCCCCCTGCAATCGCAGGGACCGTCTGGGCACCGGCCCCATGTGGAGGACGAGGCCACTTCCTGGCCTGGTCCAACTGGCATTCCCAGGGACCCGCTGCCCTCCAGGGTCCCCTGCCCGTCCCCGTGGCACCCAGGAGCTCCCAAGCCATTCCGAGGGACAGGGACGGATGCTGGGGAAAGCGGATGGGATGGATACCGCGAAAAGGGGGACGGGAAGGATGCTTGGCTCTCAGCCCTGCCACTAGTAGCTCAAGGACTCCCCGGCCCCAGCCCCGCCACCACCCCCAGCCCAGCCTTACTGCTAGGGTGTCAACGGACGAGGTGGTCGACTTCAGGCGCGCACGGCCCCGGCCCCGGCCCCCGTGGGACCCACCTCGGGGGCGCCTCCGCCCAGGGAAGCTGCTGCTGCGACCCTAGGGCCAAGGGGGAGAGGGGAGTTACGGCCGCCCGCGTGGACCCCCACCCCGCCGCGCATTCCGCCTGGGGCCAAGGGGTGGGAATGGAGGGGACGGAGAAGGGGGGGGGGCCCAATCCCCATCCCACCCGCTGTCCCCTTATGTGGCAGTGCCCCGGGGATCTCCCCCTGCAAGGAGGAGAGGGCCTGCGGGAACCCCCCAGCGCAGTACCTGCTTGACGCGGGACCGCCCCGGCGAGCTGCGGCGCCGGCTCTTGTCCCCATCGCCTTTGGGCGCCGCCGGCTCGAAGGGCAGCGAGTCGTCGGTCTCGGCGCCGAGTGGTATCGCAGTGCCGTCCTCCTTGCGAGGGCTGCCCTCGGCAGGGGCCAGCTCGAGGCAGGGCGACCCCCCTGCCTCACCGTCCGGCGAGCCCAGCAGCGCCTCCGAGCCGGGGAAGCTGCTGCTCGTGTCACCCTGGCTCAGGTTGGAGAGCTCGTGCAGGATGTCGGGCCGCGGGCGCAGGGTGGGAGGCTCGGGTGCTGCATTGTCCACGCACGGCGGCGGCAGCTTCAGGTCCATGGGCATCCCAGGACGTGCCTCCTCCCGCTCCAGCGGCTCGGGGGAGCCTTTGGGGTCGCCGCTGGGCTGCCCTTCCTCCAGCCCGTCCTCCTCGCTCAGCAGTGGGGAGCTGCCACTGGTGCCCTCACGCTCTAGCCTTGGCGCCTCTTCTTCTTCCTCCTCCTCCTCAGGCAATGCCGGGAAGAGCCCCAGCTCTGGGGCCGGACTGGCGCAGGGGGCGTCCATGGCGGGGTTGCAGGGGGACCCCTCCCCGCCACCACCCATCTCCATGTCCTCACCCTCAGGGGGCTCGACAGGGGCTGGGGCACAGGCGGGGGAGCCCAGCGGGGGTGGTGGGGAGCTGGGCGGCTCCGTGTCCATGGCGGTACCGGGGGGCTCAGGCAGGGCCGGGGCGGGCGCGTTGGGCACCTCGTCCTCAGCGGCACTGGGTGAAGGAGCCGGGGGGTGGGCAGGCGAGACAGCGCGGAGATCTGGGGAACACACAGAGGGACAGTGACGATGTGGCCCCACACAGACCCGCCCCCATCATGCCCACCAGCCCACAGACCCACCTGGAGGTGCTGGGGGCGGCAGAGCCACCTCAGGGGGCAGCAGCGGCTCCAGCTCCATGGCCTCCTCGGGGGGCAGCTCAGGAGGCACCTCGAGGGCCAGGGCCGGTGCCTCCTCCACCACATCCACCTCTGGAAGGAGACCTGCAGGACGGGGCTGTGTGTGAGGGGGGACAGGAAGGACACAAGCATCACAGGAACCCCTCGCCAGCACCCAAGGGACACGGAGGCACCAGGACACCCCCCTATGGTGTTCCCCTATGGAACACCAACATGCACAAGCAGGCGGAAAAGGGCTTGGGGTCCTCCTCAGGGGGTGGCTCAGGGTCCTCCACGGGGGTCAGTTCCATGGGGGACAGTTCAATGGGGGGTAGCTCATCGAGGGGGGGGTCTTCAGGGGGTGTCTCATCAAGGTGGGGTTTGTCAGGGGGTGTCTCATCGAAGTGAGGTTTGTCAGGGGGTGGCTCATCAGGAAGGGGTTCATTGGAGGGGATCTCATCAGGTGGCAGCTTTTCCGGGGGTGTCACATTGGGGGGCGGCTTTTCCGGGAGCGGCTCCTCACAGGGCGACCCCCCATCGCCTGGGGCTGCTTCCTCTCCATCCGAGAGGGCCTCATTCTTGTCCAGGGCTGTCTTCCTGTCACAGGGGAGCACCTCGCCGCTGTCCAATGGTGCTCCATCACCCCCGAAGTGCACCCCAGTGCCATTTGCAGGTGCCTCGCCACCACTTGAGGGGGCCACAACAGCATCCAGGGGGGCCATAACAGTGCCCGGGGGGGTCTCGGCAGGCTCCCCGCTGGGCTCTGCGGGGTCAGCTTCGGCCACGGGCACGTCCACGTCCGCCGGCTCGTTGTGCTCAGGGGACACCGATCTGCACGGAGGAGCCGGATGAGGGTGGCAGCTCTCTTCCTTGGCATTCCACAATCCCCTCATACCATCCGCAAAGGGAGGGAGACACCCCCTCCGCCCCCCCATCCCAGCTGACTCCCCCATCCCCACTCACGCCAGGTCTGTGGGGGCCAGCGGGGGGCCTGGCTCCGCCGGGGCATCCTGGCTGCAGCACCGCTCCTGGCCCCCCAAATCTGTCCTGGAGCACTGGCAGCCGGGCTCCCGCCCGGCCGGGCACTGGCCGCCCTCAGAGCAAACCCGGCAGTTCTGGGGAGGAGACGCAAACATGTCGCAAGGGGGGAGCGAGGACCAGCACGGCCGTAGGGACAGCTCACAGGGGGCCCCGCAGGCCAGCCCAGGACCCACCTTGCACTTCCAGGAGGCAGCAGGGAGGGTCTCGATGGCCGGCTCCATGCAGAATGTGTGGTAACCCTTGTCACAAGCCTCGCACACCAGCATCATGGAGTCCTCGCCGGGCAGCCTGCGAGGTGGGTAGGGGTCCGTGAGCGCCGCTCCATGACCCGTCCCCCCCCGCCATCTCCTGCAAGCACCGTGCGGGCACCTTACCTGCAGGTCTGGCACACTTTGCACTCAGGGCACTGCCAACCGGCGCGCTTGTGGGGCGCCAGCACGACGTCGAGGCAGGCGCCATGGTAGTGCTGCCCACAGCTGGTGCAGAAGAGCAGGTCCCGCAGGTCGCCTGGCCCATCGCACACCACGCACCGCGCGTCCCCTGCACACGGGACAGCGGTGGCGTTAGCAGCACCACCAGAGCCTTGTCCCGCACCCCCATGTGAGCTGGCACCCACCCGTCTGCGCTGCCTCTGCCACGTGCTCTGGGCACAGAAGCCGCAGGGTCTTCATGGACTGGAAGCAGCCGCTGGCCGCAGCGCAGGGAAAGTGGTAGAGCCGGGGACACCCATCCGCACGGCACGGGATGGTGGCTCCCATCCTCTGACAGTGTTCACATTTCTGAAAGCAACAAGCGTGCAGCATAGTCACTGAGGGCGTGATGCACAGCCTGGGGGCCCCGCAAGCGTCCCGTCACGGACTCACCTGCGAGATCCCTGAGAAAACAGCTCTGTCCACATGCGTTAGCCCAGTGGCACCTGGCAGCACGTCCGCAGACCAGGCAGCGCAGCAGCGGTGCACCCAGCAGTGTCCTGCAGGGAGTTGGCATCGGGATGGGGTCTGTGGCACGAGAACCCCACACACCTCACACCAGGCCCCTGGGCTCACCTGTCGGCTCAAAGAGCTCTGCCAGCACCACTGGTTCGGGAAAGCCGACCGGGGCCGGGTCGTCTGGTGGCGGCTTGTGGTGGCTCTCAGTGGCCTCGGGCGCTGCCGGCCACAGGGGCCAGTCAGGCGGCGGGTCAAAGCGCTGCAGCTCCTGTTGCCCATGTGGGCTCCAGGCCCCACAGTTGCAGAGGGCGCAGCGGCGGGCCGGGGCACTGCAGCATGTGGGGACATTAGCAGGGGACACGGAGCGGCAACCTGGTCCCTGCCACGCCTCGATGTCCCTGTCCTCACCTGCCAGCCTGCGGAGGCTCCTGGGTGCCTGTGTGCTCTGGCTCTGACCCCACCAAGGCTCCTTCAGGCGGCTTCAGGGGGTCTCCCTCTGCGCCAGCCACCTCCTCTGAGGATGCAGCACCATCGGCTGCTGGAACAAGCGGCCATCGCAGCCCTAGCGACAGAGCCCCCCACGGCGCCCACCCAGGCACCCCACACTCACCTGGCGCCTCCGAGTCCTTGTCCTCACTGGGTGGCTTCTGTTCATCCATCCTGCCGCCTGCTGTCCCCTCCGGAGAGGCCCACGACTGCAAGGGCATGAGAACCATGATCACCTAGCGTCCACTCAGCCACACGCCGCTTATGGCTCCCTAGAGGTCTACAAGACCCTGGCGCCAGTGCCCTGATTGGGGTGGGCATCCCAGGTCTTCCAGGGCTCGGCGCACCCCACAGCCCCACGCGGGATGCACCGAAGCTCCTCCGTGCCCCAGCCTTGTGCTCATCTCAGACACAGTAGGACGCAGGCGCCAGGGATGCTCCTGCGGGCAGGGAAGCAGGAATGGGAGCCCAAGGGGTTTCCGGACCCTGAAGTCCACGTGCATCTCCAGAAGCAGCAGCAAAGTAGGAGCAACTGGACACCCAAGACCAGGTCCTCATGTCCCCACCATAAGCAGCCGCACGCAGCCAATGACCTCTAAAGCCTCAGTTTTCCCAAGGCCAGCACCGAGCTGGCCAAACCCTAGCATTGCCCGGGGTCCCTCCAGGTAGAGGCTGGCGCCAAGGCTGTGCAATAACACTCCTGCCTGATTGCTTTCCTTCCCAAGCACCAAGATCCGAAAATGACACCAAAATTACAGTTACAGATTAAGAAGAGCCTGTGGAGAAGCTGTCGGACAGGAGGGGTCCGCGTTCTACCTGTCTGGGCTCTGCCCATCGCCCCCGTGATCCCTCCCAACTCTATATCCAACATGCGTCCCAAAAACACAAGGTGGCCTCGTCAGGTGGGAGGGCAAGGTCTAAGGGCTGCAAATTAGGGGTGGGGGAGAGCAGCATTTCTAAACATGTCCCCAGTGTCACACGGAGACCGGTGCAGACTTGAGAGGGGAGACGGGACCAGCCTGGATTCCTGGGCTGTGGGAGCCACACGGGGCTGTGCCAGGGGAGGACGCAGCCCTCGGTGCTGTCGCCGTCGCCACGGGGCAGCCACGGCCACCGAGCCACCCTGCATGCTCCCGGTGGCATCGAGCGGCCCTTGGGTGATGGAGGCAGGGGGCTGGGATGGGTCATGGAGGTGTCTGCAGGAGTGCAGGGTGCTGGGCAGTCACCCCTGGGCGATGGAGGCGGCTTGCGGCACTCAACAGGTAGCAAGAGGGCAGCGACGTGAGGGGACGGCCCGTGGCCCCCGCGCAAATCTCCGTAATCCAGTGCGGATTAGAGCCGGGCGGTGCAGCCGGGCCTGCGGGCCGCGGAGCCGGGGACAGCCCCACGTCACCGCCGTGGAGGGGACGGGGGACAAACATATAGAGCGGCACCGGGAGTGGGAGCCACCCCCGCCTCCCGCCGGGAGCCCGCCCGCCGCCGCCCCGTGCCCAGCGAGGCCCGCGCGAACCCCCCGCCGCGGAGCGGAGCCGCCGAGGCCCGTGCGCCCTCCCCCGCCGGGTTCCGTCGCGGCCTAGCGCGGCCCCGTGGGCACCTACCTGCGCTCACAGGGCGGTCCGGCGGCCCTCAGCCCGCGAAGTCCATGGGCTGCGGGCGACGGCGGACATAGCCGGGAAAACAACACGGAAAGGCGTTGGCGGCCGCGCCGGGGGGCGCCGGGCCGCGCCGCGAGCCCCGACGGCGGGGCCGGCCCGCCCGGGAGCCGCCCGGGAGCCGCCGAGGCCCGCGCCGGGCCCCGCCGCCGGGGGAGGAGGGGAAAGCGCCGCACAAAGGGGACCCGGGGCCGCGCTCGGCTCGGCGGCGGCCGCCGGAGGAAGAGGAGGAGGAGGAAGAGGAGGAGGCCGCACTCGCCGCCGCCGCCGCCCCGCGCGCACGCGAGCCCGGGGCGGAGCGCGGCCGGGCCCGGCGCAGCTCGGCACGCGGCTGGCGGGGCCGGCGCGGGGGGCGCAAGCGGCGGCCCCGCTCCGGGAGGCGGCGGCGACGGGCCCGGAGAGAGCGCGGAGACTTTTCCCTTCCGGGGAGGGAGGGGGGGAGCGGAAAACGGGGAGGAAAAAAGCGCACACCGGGGGAGGGGAAGTTTCTCAATGGCCCGGAGCGGCCACACTGTAGCGAGACGGGCCGGAAGGAAGCGGGGCCGGGCCGGGCCGGGCGGGCGCCACGCGGGGGGCGCGGGGGCCGCTGCTTGCCCCAGCCGCCCCTTTCTCTGCCTCGTCCCCTTCTCTCGTGCGACCGCGGCCCCCGCCGGGCCAGGCGGCGCCAGGGCCCCGGGGCTCGCTCTTACCCCCCCGTTTTCCTCCCCTACAACGAAGGGCTTCAAGAAACTGAACAGAAAGTGTTCCCCGACGCAGCCATTTTCATAGAAAAGTAGTCCTGCCGGGCCGCCCCCGGCGCCCCCCCCCTCCTCTTCCTACTCCTCCTGCTCTCTGACGAGGGGAGGGCAGGAGCGCGCGGTCCGGCTGTCCCCCCGCGCCGCCCCGCCGCGCTCGCTGCCGGGGCCGCCGGGGTTGCGGGGACGCGGGCGGCGGGGGGGGGACGCGGGGCGGCCGCACTACTTCGCCTCGGGGGCGCGGGTGGAGGGACACGGCGCGGGAGCTGCAGCACTCGGGGAGGGGTGGGGGGGGTGACGGTGCGGGCCGCAGCGCACGTTGGCGGCGAGGGATCCCTCCGCCCGCGTTAACCCCGCCGTGGCCGGGCGGCAGCGGCCACGTGGGGGGCCGCCCTCGCGCCCCAGCGGGCGCTCGGGGGTAACGTCGGGCCCAGGCGTTTAAGGGGCAGGTGCATGTCTGGCCCAAGCATGTGTGGGGCAGCCCAGGGGGTCTGCCCCCACCACCTATGGGACTGCCCTCGGACTTGGCCTGTGGCCGCCCTGAGCAGCCATGGGACGGGCAGGGTGCTGAAGCCTGGCTCTCTATGGGGCAGGTATCGGGCCCCACCCACGTTGGGTATCGTGCCCAAATTGCACTTGGCCATGGGGTGGACAACCCGTCCTGGCTGTGGGCCAGGCACCTCCCTGGGCCCCCTTCAGCCAGGGAAGAGGGTGGTGCCCAACCCTGGCTGTCTGTGGGGCAGGGTCTGGCCTAAGCAATGGGGTGGGCAAGGTGCCAAGCTCCGTGATGGACACTGTATCCAGTGCAAAGGCCTTGTCTCTGCCATGCTACAGAGCCAGGGTCACCAGCCCCTGTGATAAGAGAGGCACCTGTGCCCACAGGACCCCAGTCCCCATCCTTCCCCCCAGCAGCACAGGCCTTCTGCTTTGCTCCCAGTTGCTTTATTGCATCTCTCCTTCCTCCTGTGGAGCCTCTGCCCCCACTCCAGGGGCAACACTAGGGCCAGCCCCCCAGCAGTGGACAAAGTACTGGTGAGACTACACCCACCACAGAGTAGGATTAGGGCACTGCCACAGCGGTTGCCTCGCTCTCTGCAACACTGGGCACAGGGCCTAACAGAGCCTCCATGTGCCAGGTGGCCCCAGCTGCCCACAAGCTTCTGAAAGACCCTGCCCTCCAGAAGCCATAGGGCACAGGGGGAGTTGTGACCCCAGCTGCACTGGCAGAGGCCACTGAGGGGCAGCTCATGACCCACATGTGGCAGCACCAGGGACCTGCCCTGTGTTAATGCCTAGCTCAGCATTATCCTGCCCTGCTTGAGGCCCAGGAGTGGCAGCCCAGCCCTAAGAGGGCAAGAGGTGCAGCGAGACTGGCACCCAAGGGTGCCACATCCCCCTCCCTGCATCCAACATGGCACAGGGCTCCCAGCAAGGACCCAACCATGGGAGACAATGCTCTTCTCTAGCCATAGTCCCCAATGTGGGGCAAAGATCTGTCCATAAGGACCCCTAAAAGCCCCTCCCAGAACCACCTCTGGTTCCCTGCACCCCTTCTCCCTATGTGCATCTTCTTGTGCCTTTCTGCCACCAACCCAAGTGGGTAATTAGCACTAACGAGGTTGCCTGGGGGCTGATGAGCCACAGGGGGAACCCCAGCACTAGGCACCCAGCTCCTGGACATCCCACAAGCACCCACCCCGTGTGCCTGTGGAGAACACCCTGCTCCTTCCTTGGAGATGGCCACAGTCCAGACACCACTTCCCACCCCGGTGCCAGCTGGGGGCTTCACCCCTGGCACAAAATGGGATTGTTCCAGCCTGGCATCCCTGACTCCCACAGGCTGCCAACACAATGGCACCGGGCACCGCCCTGGGGACAAGCTGCAGATTCAGTTCCTACTCGGCAGCTCCGCTGGGAGCAGCTCCATGTCCTCCCATGTGGCTGCCTGCAGCGAGGAACCCCCTTGTCCCCTATGAGCACCACCAGCCCCCAATGTCCATGCAGGGGCTGGCACAGGGCCCGAGGTGGGGGGTCTCCCTGCCAGGCCCAGGTTGGGGGGAGTGCAGCTCCAGTGGCACTGGCTCACATGAGGTGGCAACGATGCTCCCGGCTGTAGGAGTTGTCCACGCGGTCAATCTCCTCGATGATCTTGGTGAAGATGCCCTGGGTGCCCTAGGGATGAGGGACTGTGAGCGGTGGGGCCCACATGGGGCCCAGCCCCACCCCATCACAAGCCCCACCTGGCTCTCCTTGGCCGAGGACTCGAGGAAAATGGCCCCCCAGGACTCCGCCAGCTTCCTGCCTTCATCTGTCTTCACCTCCCGGCTGGGGAGATGGCAAAAGGAAGAGGGGGACAGGCAAGAGGGGCCAAGTGGTCCCTAAGCCCCTTGGTCATAGGAAGGGGTCAAGGGACCCCAGAGTCCCTCTTACCTCTGCAGGGACAGGTCCGCCTTGTTGCCCACCAGCACCACAGGCATCCTGGGGTGGGGAGACGAGATCCAGGACACAAACACAGAGTGTCAGGGCTGGCACCAACAGGCACCAGGAATGGGGACCAGGACAGCACTTACCGTGTTTTCCCCCTGCTCTCATACAACTTGTTGTGAAGGGTCTTCACCACCTGGAAGCTGAAGGGAGAAGCAGGGAAGGGGCTTCCAGCGCTGCCCTGGGTCCCCCCACCTCAGCCAAGAAGAGCCAGGTCCCCCCACTGCACTGACCTGCGCAGGGACGTCACCGAGTACACCAGCACGTAGCCATGGATGCCAATGACAAAGGAGTGAGGCAGGATGGTGTACTCATCCTGCGGCGAGGAGACGGGCTTAGTGTTGAATGAGGCACAGCCAGGCCCTCCCACACACACACACCTACACTGTCCTTCCATCCTGCTGTTACCTGTCCAGCAGTGTCCACCAGCTGCAGGTGAAATTCATCCTTGCCAACTACTACCATCTTGCTGTAGGCTGCAGAGACAGGGGGATTAGCAAGGACCCCGCCCCAAAGTTGCACCCAGCCCATCGCCCCACCATGGCCCTCCTGCAGGAGTATCCAGACACCTCCCAGGCTGTGGTGAAGCAGTGGGAGCTTCCTCCCTACAAGAAGCGCCCCCATCCAAACACACTGCACTGGAGGGGTGGCTGTGCTGTGAACCAGCCCTCTGCTGTGGTCAGCTCCCCACCCCAGACAGGATGGGCCCCTACTACCCCAGGCAAGTCCTGCTGCCACTGCCCTTACTTCAGAGTGGGGTGCTGAGCCCTTCCCAGCACCCCATTAAGAACAACAAGCTCCTACCCCCCACCCCAGGTCCTTTCATGGTCCCAGAGCGGCCAATGCTCTCCCCAGGGCTGTACCCCATTTCTCCCCCCTCTAGAAGCAGCACTGATTCAAGCCAGAGCAGGGACAGCTTTGTCGGGATAGGGTGCCCCGTTCTGACACTTACTGCTCTCCACCGTGGGGTCGTAACTGTCCAGAAACTTCCCCTCCACAAACTGGTGAGCCAGGGAGGTCTTGCCTGGGGCAGGGAGGGAGGACAGAGAGAGGGAAGGAGAGAAAAAAAAAAAAAAAAAAAAAAAATCACAGAAGCCCTGACTGAGCAGGAGGTCCCAGCAGATCAGCAGGGTCAAGGGCAGCCCCCCCCCTCCCCACCATTGAATCCCACACTCCTGCCCCAGGGGCTCTTTAGAGGGCTCCTGGGAGGGTGCCTAGACATAGCAGAGCATAGCCCAACACCTGCATAAAGGTAGCCCCTCCTCATGGGCAGGTACCCCCTGCACCCAGCCCTGGGACCAAGCACAGCCTCCAGGACACCCCCTGCCCCTCAGGGCCACCCCTGCCCAGCCCTCCCCATGCAGGGGGCTGACATGGCACCACAAGCCACAGCACCAACCCCCCGCGCACACCCACGAGGGACCTCCTCCCACACAATCCCCATCCCTCGCACATCCCGGATACAACCCGCTGTCCTCGCACACTCCCCGGGCGCCTTCCGTCGCATAGCCCCTGTCCCGCCGCACGTCGCCCGCCCTCACTCACCTACGGCCCGGTAGCCCAGGAGAACCACTTTGCGGTAGCGCACCAAAGGCATGGCCCGAGGGGCGGAGCAGGGCAGCACGGGCGGGCGCAGCAAGCGCCGCTATAAAAGCGCCCGCCGCGGCGGGCGCGCGGCTTGGTGGCGGGAGGAGGGCCACTACGCCGGTCTTCCCACGTGACCACAACAGCGCCCGCCCGCCGCTCCCATTGGCTGCGCCGCGGCGAGTGGGGCGGGGCTAGAGGGCTGCGCAAGCGCATCGCGGCCCGGGTCTCCATTCATGAAAACGGAGGGAACGGGCGCGGCCACGTGGGTGCCAAACACCTGCGGCGGCCACGTGGGCGGAGGGCGCCAGGTCCCCCCCGGGTCCGGTCCCTGCTGCCTGAAACCTCCCCACCCGTGAGTCTCCCGGGGACTCCCATCCTGGCCTCCCACCCCCCTCCTTGTGCAGCGTTCCCTTGCACCTCGGGTGCCCCCGCTCTGCCCAGGCCCCCCCCTCCTGCCAGTCACCTTCCAGCAAGGGCCATACATCCTCTTTATTTACCCAAATCATTAAATAGTATTATTTTTTAAACATAAATGGTTAAGAGCCCATCTGCCCCCTGCAGTGGGGCTGCCCCACTGCTAGGGCGGCCCCAGGGGGACACTTATATTACCTTTATAAATAGAAAAATAAAACTCTCAAGCAGGGCAGGTTAGTGGTTAGCACAAGTTAGACCTGGGCCTGGCGCTGGGCGCCCCATCCCCACCGCAGCGCCCCCATCTTTGCTGCCTACCGCCCCCAGCCAGCCCCTGGCACACGCAGGTATGTGGGGACAGGGCAGGTGCTGTTGTGGGGGAAAGGCTAAAGCGCTGCAGAACCCCCGGGATGGGGCCGGTTCCAGGCAGGATTGAACTCTGGCGCAGGGTCTCTGGTGTCCAGGCAACAAAGCTGTCCCCAGGTGCAGTGGTTAATAAAGCAATAAATATGGAGGCGGGGAAATGGGTGACAGTGCTGGGGGTGACCCTAAGGTCCAGGTAGGCCTGAGACCCAGGTCCCCAGGCCATCTGTAAGTCTCCATTCCCAGTCCCCTTGGGCAGTGCTTGCCTTGGCAATGCTTGATGCAACCTTGCGAGCAGCCCTGGCCTCTACAGGGGCCCACAGTGGGCCTGTGCCTGTGCTGCGGTGCTCAGCACGCTCAAGGCGCTAGGCCTGCAGAGCCTCATGGCCCAGCACGCGCCAGGCCAGGTGGTAGAGGAGGCGCGAGTACCAGTGCATGCCCGCTTCGGGCACCGTGCCATTGACTGCCTCAGCGTGTACCGGCAGCAGTGAGAGCAGCCCATGGAAGAGACGTAGTGGCGCGAAGGCCCAATGTGCCCAGCGGTGGCTCTCAAGCACAGCATAGCATGACGCCAGCACCCCGTTGACTAGCAGTGTCCCGTGGGAGGTGAGCGGGGCAAAGACACCCACGCCATCCTCCCACGACACCCGCAGCACCCGTGCCGGCCGCAGCCCCTGCCCGCCAGCCCCATGCGCCAGCACTGTGTCACCTGGCCGCACACGGCTGGCAAAGACAGGCAGGAAGGCGGCCGTGCCATTGGCGGCACCACGGGCTGCAAACACCAGGTGGGATGGCGTGAGCAGCAGCCGGCGGGCCGGACTGGCTGTCTCGATGGCCACGAAGGAAGTGCGCTGGGCCAGGTCGCGGTCGAGGAACAGCAGCACCTCAGTGGCCACCAGGCGCCCGCCCGGCTCGGCACCCAACACCCAGTCGCCCCGGCGCAGGTCAGACAGGCCACGGCGCTCGCCACTGCGCAGCATCACCGTGGCGTGGCCCGGGAAGCAGCCGCCCGTCCGGATGGCCAAGGAGTTGTCTGGACAGAGGGAGGAATCAGTGGGAGCCCAGCATCTTCCAAAGACTGGGAGAGCAGTGGGGGCTCATCCCTGGCACCTCCCCAGGCACCTTCCGCTACCTGCCAGTGCAGCCGCTACCACAGAGGGGAAGCGACACGAGTGGAGCGGCTGGCACCGGAGCGGAGCTCGCAGCAGCGCCCAGACAAGGAGTGGGATGCACAGCCCCTTTGTGCTCCTGCTCTGATGCCCTTTGTTCCCTGCTGGCCCTGCGCCGCTGCGACTGCCGCTGGGAACACTGGCATTTGGGAGCACTTTCACTTTCTGTTTGTTGCCAGCCCTACTGCCAGGGGCTCAGTGCAGGGCTCTAATGCACAACTGCTTATTCTGCCCTGCTGGAGAGGAGCACAAGCATCCGGCCAAGAGGGGCCTGTTGCACAGGATTACAAGCGGGTACCCGGGTCTTTGCCCATTTGAAAGGCTCCAGGTAGGTGTGGGCACAGGCAAGTGGCAGCTCTGTTGCAAGGTGGACCCGGAACACATGGAGAAACTGACCCCAGGGATGGAGGAACCTGCAACCTCAGGTGGTGGTTCAGCCTTCCTCACTAGGGGAAGATTGACCCTCCCCAGCCCATGCAGCAGCCCAGGGCCCTGCTAACCCCACCAGGCTCTACCTGCTTTCACGGAGACATGAACATGCGCCTTGGACTCGTAGTAGACCCAATCGAAGCCAGCTTCAACGGCGAGGCGCGCCAGCATGCCGTATTTGTCCCGGTCCCGGTCTGAAGTGGTGATGTCCAGTGCCCGGCCCTCGTAGTGCAGGGAGTCGGGAAGGTGATGCCCATCCTCATCCCAGCCCTCTGTGACTCGTAGCTTCACTCCTGGCCACATGTTCATCACAGCGATGGCCAGAGAGTTCACCCGCTCCTTGCAGCGCTGGGGGCAGCAGGGGCAGCATCAGCCCCATCACACCAGACCTAGACCTGCCACGTTGGCCACCCAGAACCCTCTGCCAGGGAGGTGGTTCAAGTGCAGACAGTCAGATGGACACCAGGGACCTGAATGGGGCTTGCAAGCAGCCGGTCCCTGATGGTTGCTGACTCAGTGGGAGGTCAGGCGGTGCCCCCTCCCCCAGGTTTCTGAGTGGGTGCAAGGCTGAGGGCATTGGGGCTGCTCCAGGCCGGTCCCGACCAGGATTAAATATTAACGTGCCCTGGGGTCCTCGCTGCAGGTGCCACCCCCTCTGGGGCAGCCAGGCGGAAAGGGCATGACCGGTGCCTCCCCCCTGCTGTGACTAATGAACCAGCGGCTCCCACAGGAGCCCCGTAGGGCAAAGCGAGGGGGCTCAGCCCCGGGACAGCACAGGGCAGGGTGGGGTGGGTGCAGCCGGACCCCTCCGCCCCCCAAAGTGAGCAGGGCCTGGAGAGAAGGGATCTGGATGGTGGTCCGGGCCTCCCAGATTTGGGTGATCTGTGAGGAGAGGCAGCAGGTCCCTCACCCTGCGCTGTGGCGGGGTTGGCACGAGGGTCCTCCCGCCTCCGGTCGGCAGCCCTGGTGCCCCCGACCCTGTGCGAGCGGTGGGGCGGAGGCGGCAGGGGCGGGCGCAGGGCGGCCCGGCCCGGGGGGGCAGGAATGCGGTGGCCCAGCCCGGCTCGGCCCCGACAATAGGCGCCTTCGATCCCGGCGCTGACCTCAGGTCCCGGGAATGCCGTGCCCGGCCACAAAGGGCCCTTTGAGCCGCCCGCAGCCGCGCGCCAGCCCCGCGCTCGCGCCCGCCGCCACCGGGCCGGGGCAGCGGCTGGGACCACAGCAGCATCGACGGCTCCATGGAGACCGCGGGGCCGCCCGGAGCCGCGCCCCGGCGGCCCCGAGCCGCAGCAGGGACCGGGGGCGCACAGGCTCCGCCTCGCCCGAGGCTCCCCGGGCACCGCCGGCCGCCCGGAGCTGGGCTCCCCTCCGCCGCTGAGCCCCCGTTCCTGGAGAAGCCCGAGGAGAGCCCAGGTGTCCGGCTCCCGGCTGTTTCCCCGTTGGGAGCGGACAGGTGGGAGGAAGGTGCCTCCGGGGCGGCCTGATGTCCTGGGCTCAGCCCCGGGCCCGGCCCAGGGGCGCGGCGGGCTCGGGGAGGGGCTGCCTCGCTCCGGCCCCCCGTTCCCTCCGGCCAGACCTTCCTACGCCGGCCGCTCCCGGCAGAAGGGCGCCGCCGCCCCCGTTAATCCCTAACGGCGGGTCCTTAATGTCTAACTCGGCTCGACCGCCCTGTCGCGGGCGGGGGGGCCGGCCAGTCCTGCCGCCTTGCCGGGAGCCGGGGAAAGGGAGCGGGATCGGCCAGGGTCCGAGGAAGTCACCGAGGGGCCCCGGAGAGTGTCAGTGCGTCCCCCGGGCATCCCGGGGAGGCTCGGTGCGTCCTGAGGAGGCTCGATACATTCCGGGCAAGGTCGGTGCGTCCCTCGGGCGCCCCACGGGAGGTCGGTGCCTCCCTCCCTACCCTCCCTCGCCGCCTCGCTGAAGACGGCCGAGCCGGGCGCAGCCCCCACCTCGGTCATGAGCCGGTCGGCGCCCGTGTTCTCCTCATCCTTGAAGATGATGTCGGGATTGTAGTTGGGCACCAGCTCCCTGAAGCGCTCTGAGCCCCGCAGCACTTTGCCCTCCGCCTTCCCGCTCGCCCCCAGCGTCTGTTCGGGCACGTTGGGCACGAACTGCTTGTAGAGCAGCGGCGTGAGGTGTCGTCGCCCCAGCCGCCGCCGCCCCACCGGGCCGCGGCCCGGGCCGCAGCCCAGCGCCGGTGCGGCCAGCAGGCAGGCGGCGAGGGCGAGCAGGGTGAGGGCGAGTGGGCTGCGCCAGGGCATCGTGCAGCCCCGCTCAGGCGCCGGGGCCCCGGGCGGCCGCGGCGGGCATGGCCCCGCTGGAGAGCTTTTAGCGGGTCGCGGTGCCAGGGGCGGGTCGGTGGCGTTTCCTTCTCACACCCACGGTCCCGTCGTCGTCGCGGGAGTCGCAGCCTCCCCCCGGGCCGCCACCCACTCGGAGAGCAGCGCCTGGGTCCTGGTGGCGCCCCGACGGCGCCCCGGTCCTGCGCAGCACCGGCGCCTCCTCCCCGTCCCGGCGCTGCTCCTGGCACCAGGAACCCCGCTTATCCTAATGCTGCACCTCCCGTACCGGGAGCCTCTCCCTCTCCTGCCTTTGGGGACTGCACCCCGGGACCAGGACCTGCCTTTTCTTAACTGACCCTGGCACCGGCGGCACCCGTTATCCTAACGCTGTGGCTCGGTTACCCGGACCTCCTTCCGCTCTTGCATTGTCCCCGGCAGCTTTCCCCCCGCTCCTGGCACTGCCCCTGTATCGGTCGCCCTCGCTCCTGGCAGTGTCTCAGTCCAGGTACTGCCCCCTCCTGGCACGGTTTCGGTCCCTCCGCTCTTGAAACTTCCCCCGTCTCGGTGCTGCCCGCTCCTGGCACTGCTCCCAGTCCCCCCTGCTCCCGACCCTGTCCCCGTCCCCCCGCTCCCGGCACTGTGGCACTGTTGGTCCCCGGCTCCCGGCACTGTGCCGGTGTCCCCGTTCCTAGCACTGCTGCGGTCCCAGTACCCCTCGGTGTCGCTCTGCAGTGTGCGCTGCCCGGAGCAGCCCCGGGCCGTAGCGGGCGGACTCGGCCGGGCTACCCCCACCTGCAGCCGCTCCGCTCAGGCACCGGGCAGCCCGGCCCAGCCCCGCCTTGCAGCCCAGCCCTGTAGCGGCCACTGTCACCTCCCCCGGGGCCGCCCCCGCCGGGCCGCCAGTGCCGGGGGGTGAAGGGCTGCAAGCAGAGCCGGAGGGACCCGGACAGAGCCGTGCTCCTCCCGCCCCCAAGGGCTCCTAGCACCTTCCCATCTTGGCCAGAGCTCAGCAGAGCCCCCGTACCCAGGCTGTTCTGGACCCTGCTCCAGTCGTGCTGCAGGTGGGACAACCTCAGCCCTGTGCCCTCACACCCCAGGATGGTTCCTGGAGCCCCAGAACAGGGAGAAGGGCTCAGGGCAGGGCACTGGAGCAGTCGTGGGGAGGGAAAGGGGGTCTGGTTCCCCAGCAGCAGCCCCAGTGCCGGGCGGAGAGCACGTGGCGGGGAAATCGTGGGCACCAATGGTCTCATTTCCTCCTATATAAAGCAACTTCCTGTGCTTCCTGCTCAGCCCCAGCCCAGGGGGAGGCTGAGGGCTCCCCCAGCCCTTCCAAGCGGGGAGCAGGGCCTGGCGCAACCCCAGCCGGGGCAGGATGGGTGGGAGGGCCGGTTCCCAGGGCAGCTTCCGCTCCCACCACCTCAACCTCTCGTGGCGGTGCCAGAGACCAGCCCTCCCTGGCCCCTCCTCCCCCTCCCCACCCAGCACCTCTGTCTGGGGGAGTCAGGCAGAGCACCCTGGGATTCACAGCCCCACACCAGGGCCACCTCCCCCTCAGCCTGCAGACCAGCCAGGCAGGGAGAGAGGGGACACATTCCCAATGGCAGATAGGGCAGGGAGCAGTCCTCACCTTCAGCCCCACTCCCTTCCGGCTGCTCTGGAAAAGGCTGGATGACCCCAGCCAGGAAGAGGGTTAATTGCAGCCTGTGGGGTGAGGGAAGAGGGGGGCAGGCAGGACAGGAATGAGCACCCTGGGGAGCAGAACAGGGCCCTGTACCCCGGCTCCTGTGACCCCACTGCCAGGCAGAGGGAGGGGACACAGGGGTACTGAGGAAGAGGATGGCTCTGTGCTAAGTCCAGCCCAGTTAATGCACCTGTCACCCCAAGCCCAGCCCCCCTGGACAAAAGATACAAACACATAGATTCAAATATTTCTATGTACATTTATAATAAAATAAAAAAAAAAAAAGAAAAAGAAAAGAAAAAGAAAAAGGAGAGTGTTTAGTGCTCCAAACAGGTGAAGTGATAACAGGGACCCAACAGACTCATCACACACAGCTGCACAGAAGGGTCAGGGCTGGCTCAGGGTCCTGGTCCTCGTTCTGGGGGCAGCTCAGGCCCTGGGCCCTCAGGGGAACAACCAGCATCCCCTGCCTCATGCTCGGGAATGTAGGCTCTGCTCAAGTGTCATCGCAAGGCTGAGGGGGGAATTAAAAAATGAACAAACAAAGAAAATGCAAGAGAGAGGGGAAACTCCGGGGGCACTTGCACAAGGTATATGGAGAGGAGAGGGAGCCGCAGCCAGCGCAGCCCCAGTGTGGCCCGGAGAGGGGGCCATGGCACCTTGTTGCATCTCCAGCACTAGCAGGGTTGGCGCAGGGGCCAAGACGGCGTCACAGGCAGTGGCAGCTTGTGCAGACCTTGACAGAGGGCAGGAGGTGAATGTCAGGTCCCAGCTCTCTCCTCCCCACCTGCCATGTCCCTGCCCTGTGTCCCCTCACCGAGAGCACGCAGCAGCTCGGCCCGCATGGCCCAGGTAACCTCCCTGGTCAGGCACAGAGCAGTCAGTGTCGCGAAGGCCACGTTGTAGAGGAAGATGAGGTAGAAGTTGCCCAGCCAGTTGAAGCGGCCAAAGTGGCCCAGGAGGTCAAAGCGAGTGATGCCTGTGCAGGGTGGGGGGACAGATCAGGGTGCTGCTGAGGAGGCACCGGCACCCATGCCTGTCCCCATCGCCTCACCCAGTGTCCGGGAGAAGACGGGCAAGGCTGAGCTGAGCACCAACAAGGAGACACAGTTCCCAATGATCTGGAGGGGAGTGGGAACAGCATTGGAGGAGGGTGCAGTCCCACAAAGGGGTGGGCAGTGTCACCCCGGGGGACTCTGAGCTCTGCTGTGGGTGCAGAGAAGGTGACAGCAGCCCCCCCACATTGCTGTGCTCCCATGCCCCCCCCAGCATAGGTACCTTGGGGAGGGGGGTGTCCTGGTGCCGGGGCAGCAGGCAGGTGAACAGCGGGGAGCTGTAGAAGCCCACGACAGAGCAGAGCATCAGGTAGCTGCAAGGCGGTGTGCGTTAAGGAGGCAGAACTGAGTGGGGTGGGGGGACAGGGCTGGGTACAGCACAGGGCCACCAAGGATACAAGATGAGGATGACTTGCAAGGCGGCTCCGAAGGATCCCAGCATGGAGAAGGAAACCTGGCCCAAGGCAGTGGCCTGTGAGCAAGAAGGTGAGTGGAGGAGGGGGGCCTGGGCAGGGACAGTGTCCCCATTGCTTCCTGACCCCTCCTCGCCCCTTGTACCTGTGTGCCCTGGGGCATGGCCGCCTCGTCCAGCAGCAGCTCCAGCACATGGAAGCAGACAACAAGCACCGAGATGCCCTGGTGAGAGGAGACAAGGGAGTCAGGGTGGTAGCAGGAGGTGGGGGTGGAGAGAACAGGGCCACCAGGCCACCTGCCACACTCACCGTGAGCACCAGGAGGCCCAGCATGGCCAGCGGGTAGCCCACGTTCCTCTGCCAGGGTGATGCTCTGCACCGCAATTCTGCAGGGCAATGGGCCCAGGTGAGATGGGCCCGGGGGGAGCTGCAAGGGTCAAAGCGCCCCCTCTTTACCCCCTGTCCATAGAAAGGTGCCCAGGGAGGGCCCAGGCATCCAGGGCAGCTCCTGGGGCCTTACCCAGTGTGTGCCGCTTGCTTCGCAGGGCCAAGAGCTGCTTCTGCAGCAGTGCCATATCGAGGCTCAGCCAGCAGGACGCCCTCCCTGCGGGGATGGGAGCAGGGCTGGGTTTGCAGGGGCTCAAGCTGCCCCCTCACCCCCCAGCTCCCACCCACACCAGGCACCCACCTGCCGAGATTCGGCGGGACACAGAGGCCTCCTCAAACCTCGTGCAATTCAGCTGCTCGTCCAGGTCTTCCAAGAGCTAGAGGAGGGCAGGGGGCCTGTGAGCGGCCATCCACGCTCAGGGATGCCAAGTCCTGTCATCCCGGTCCCGGGAACATCACAGGGCAGTGGGGAGCCTGGAGACACCTTACCTGGGGCTTCACTAGCAGCTTCCCTGTGACGGTGAACATGGTGGAGAGGCCGAGAGGGGTGCACACTGTGGCAGAAGGAGATGCTGAGCCGGGGTGCCCATCCCCAGCACCGTCTTCCCAAGGGATCCATCTTTGCTATGACCCCTCCAGGCCCAGCAGTGTTTGCTGGGAACAACCTGCCACAGCCTGTGGAGGCCCTCCCTTCCCCCCAGGTGTTCCCACCGTGATGTTGTGCCCTGGGGTGATGCTGTACCCCGGGGACACAGGATACTGAGGGGGACCACAAGGCGCCGAAGCTGCAGCACTTACGCAGTAGGAGCAACACTCCCAGCAGCGAGAGGCAGGAGTAGAGGTAGGGTAGGTGGCACTGCCAGAGGGCTGCGGGGAGGCAGGGTGAGCCCACGGATGCCAAGCGTGCCGCAGAGTCCCCAGCCCTGTGGCAGCACCCACCATGCAGCGACTCGCGGCTGGCCACATGCCGGTCCACCAGGGCCGAGGCCACCCACACCATGCCCAGCACGAGCAACGCCAGGAGCAGCAGCACCACTGATGTCTCATATACCCGGGCCATGATGCCCTGTGGGACAGGAGGGTTGGCAGGTGGTAAGGCATGGCGGGGGGGCAGGCAAGGGTGGGCCAGGGCCGCATTACCTTCTTGGAGCCTGCAAAGCCCTCTGACTCGGTGAAGAAATAGGCGAAGGGCATGAGGAAGATGAGGGACAGGTTGGAGAAGAGGAAGACCAAGTTCCAGAGGCCTGGAGGGAGGAGAAGGTGCAGGGTGAGAGTGGGCAGGGCCAAGGGGTGCCCATCACCACCCCTAGCACCCACCATGGATGAGTGAGCCGTTGAGCCACCGCATGTAGTAGCTGTGGGGGAAACAGAGCAGCACCTCATTGCTGATGATGGAGAAGGGCAGCAGGAGCACAGCGCCCAGCGACACGGCCAGCGTGAAGGTGCAAAGCGCCAGCCTGCACACAGGACAATGTGCGATCAGCCGCATCCAGCAGGTGAGGTGGCCGAATGGCACCACGCCAGGGGACAGACAGGGACTTACGCAATCCTGTTGACAGCAGCATCCTCATCGTTGTGAACTGCGGGGCAAGGAAAACAATCCCAGAGGGGGAACAGAACCCAGGTTAGGACCAGCCGAGCCCGGGTGTCCTGCTCTGCCCTGGCCCTTGGGGGATGTCCCTTCACATCCCTCTCCCCATGTGGACTTGGAAGGCACGGGGCAGAGTCAGGCCTCTCCTGTGCTCGCAGGGAGTGCAGAGGCCCTGGACATGGATTTCAGGCTCTGCTCTCTGTGCTGCTGCAGCCAGCAAGCTGCCACACAGCAATGCGGGCCTCACAGTGATCAATGCTGCAGCAATGTGGACAGCCCGCGGCCCCCATGGGAGACAGAAACCATGCACGGTGGTGGGGAGGAAGGGAAACCCCAACAGGGGAGCAGAATAGGGATGCAAACAGCTCCTACCTTCAGCAAAGTCTGTGTGCTTTTTGAAGTGGGTTATGATGAAGTGGCAAAGGAGGTAGAGGCTGATGAAGAGCAGGGTGCAGATCTGCAGGGCAGAGGGACCAGTGGGCTAGGACCCACAGCTGTGCTGCCCAGCACTCCAGGCCAGGCACCATCTACACTTCCCCCACCCGCCTCCCAGTCATGGGTTATTTGTCCCCTGCAGCCTTCCAGCCCTGTCTGCACAGGGAGAGCTGCCCTTCTCCCAGGCTCAGCCTGGGTCACCCACTGGGTGCTCTCACAGACCGGTGCTGCAGCCCCATGCCAGTGGCTGCTCCCTGCTCTGCATGTCCCAGTGCTGCCCCGGCCCCCGCACGCTGACGCCGGCAGAGCCATGGGAACAGCCTTGAGCTGGGCGCCAAGGCTGCTCCAGTGTCCCTGCCGCAGGCGTCACCAGAGGAACACAGTGACCTTTCCTCCCTCTGCACACGCAGACAGCGACAGGTAAAAAGGCCCAAACCCATGGCCTTGGCATGGGTGGTACCCCCACAGCTCCTCTCTGCTGCCCACCCCAGGGGGCTCAGGGCAGGGTGGGAGGCAGCTCATGGGCACCCTGGAGTGGCAGCCTGGCCGGTGGGTGCTCCCCAGCCAACGCGGTGCTTATGCAACAGCGGGGCTGAAGGACAAGGCAGCGGGAAACAACGTGGCCGATGAGGCTGAAAGGTCACAGAAGTTCCACGCTGGCGGTGCCAAGACAGAGCAGCCCCAGGTGGACCCAGACACAGCTCCTGGCTGAGGTGCCAGGCTCTGGCCCTAGGCTCCTCCCTATGGGCACCGAACTGGGCTGCTGAGGTCACAGCTGGGCCACCTCATGTTGCCTATATTTGCCCTCTGAGTCACCCCATAGCGCAACTTGTCCCTGAGTGCCACATCCAGGGATGATCTTAGGGATAGGGTCAGGATACCTGGCCCTCAGCATCCCTGCCCTCTGCTGCACCAGGTGCCCAGGCTGTCAGGCGTGGGCAGAGCAGTGAGGGCAGCCGTGTGCCACACTATGCCAGTGAGGGGGCATTGCACCTGGGACCTCAGCAAGGCCCCTGTAGCTGCCAGGGACACAGAAGGACTGACAGACTCTGCTTCTACAGCCACCCAGGGCCCCCTCACGGGAGGGAGCAGGACACCCCCTCCCTGCATGGCAGGAGAGATCAGGGCGGCCAGCGAGGCCCCTGGAGCCCCTGCTCCAGCCCTCCCCACTTCACCTGCTCTCCATCTACTGGAGCTGGCCTGCACGCAGCGCTGTCGCTGGGGCTCAGCCCAGCCTGGCCGCCTGCAGCCCCGATAAGGGAAATGCTCTGCACCTCCACGCCCCACACCGCCGCCTCGGGCCCCGTTGCTCACCAGGCTCTCGCGGACCCGCTGGTGGAAGAGCTGCTCCCGCGCGGCCAGCGCGTCGTGCTCCGCAGGGCCCATGCTGCGACTAGCATGGCTGGGCGGGCGGCCGCGGGGAACACGCCGGGGCGAACCAGGCCCGTGCCGGGAGGGGAGCCGGGCCGAACCGGGCCAGGAAGGAGGGGCGGGGAGCGGAGCGAGCGCTTCCCGGCCCCGCCCGCCCGGCGCTCGCTACAATGTAGCGGCTCCGCTTCCTGCCCTTAAAAGGGCCACGCGTCCCACGGCGCCGGCCCCGCCGTGCCGCCATTGGCTCCGCTGTCATGAATGAAGCGCCGCTCATTGGACCGCGGGGTACGCGGGCGGAGCTGATTGGCTGGGGCGTGCACCGCGGTCCTACGGCGGGGACCGCACGCACGAGGGGTTACGAAGGGAGCCGAGCCCCGCGTTACAGTCCGAGGGCCTGTAACGATGCCCGCACCGGGAGCAGGGGGGTTAACCGCCCCATGCCGTAAACCCCGGGTTAAACACGGGGCCAATGCTAATCTCTCCCCGCAGCACTAATCCCTACGGGGATTAACAGCAGCTCTGCAGCACCCACTGCCTCCAGCTCTGCACCCATCCCAGCTACCAGCAGCAGCCATCTGGAAAAGAGGAGCCACCCACCAGCAACTCCATAACCACCCAGGACCCTCAGCAGAACCAGGGATAGCAGACACCCCACACTACACCCAGAAAAGGGTGGCAAGGGGCATCACGCATGGGGGACAGCAGGGCAACCCCACACCAGCCTGTAGGGACAACAGTGACAATCTACCTCCATGTGCAAAGGGCTGGGAGCCCAGGGCACCACAGACACACAAGGCTGGATCAAACAAGAGCATTTTTTAATCGGCCTTTTATTGACAGAAAAGGTACAGACACAAAGAAAACAGAAGAGATCAAGCTGTGGAAGAGTGAGAGCACCCAGATGGGCCCAGTATCCTCCTGGCTTTGCGGGGCCAGACCTCTGCCCGCGGCACAAGAAAGCCAAAATGTTTGCAGGTGACATTTTGTGGACATGCTACAGAGATGGAGCCCAGCATTTAGTACTCCTCACCTTCCTCCTCACCCTCGCCCTCCACCGAGTCCACCCCCACCTCCTCATAATCCTTCTCCAGGGCTGCCATGTCTTCACGCGCCTCCGAGAACTCGCCTTCCTCCATGCCCTCACCCACGTACCAGTGCACAAAGGCGCGCTTGGCGTACATGAGGTCGAACTTGTGGTCCAGGCGGGCCCAGGCCTCGGCGATAGCCGTCGTGTTGCTCAGCATGCACACGGCGCGCTGCACCTTGGCCAGGTCCCCGCCGGGAACCACCGTGGGCGGCTGGTAGTTGATGCCCACCTTGAAGCCCGTGGGGCACCAGTCTACAAACTGGATGCTGCGCTTGGTTTTGATGGTGGCGATGGCGGCGTTGACATCTTTGGGCACCACATCCCCACGGTACAGCAGGCAACAGGCCATGTACTTGCCATGGCGAGGGTCGCACTTGACCATCTGGTTGGCCGGCTCGAAGCAGGCGTTGGTGATCTCGGCCACAGAGAGCTGCTCATGATACGCTTTCTCAGCGGAGATGACGGGCGCGTAGGTGGCCAGGGGGAAGTGGATACGGGGATAGGGCACCAGGTTGGTCTGGAACTCAGTGAGATCAACATTCAGGGCCCCATCAAAGCGCAGGGATGCAGTGATGGAGGACACAATCTGGCTGATGAGGCGGTTGAGGTTGGTGTAGGTGGGACGCTCAATGTCGAGGTTCCTGCGGCAGATGTCGTAGATGGCCTCGTTGTCCACCATGAAGGCACAGTCGGAGTGCTCTAGGGTGGTATGGGTGGTGAGGATGGAGTTGTAGGGCTCCACCACGGCTGTGGACACTTGTGGGGCTGGGTAGATGGAGAACTCCAGCTTGGACTTCTTGCCATAGTCAACTGAGAGGCGCTCCATGAGCAGGGAGGTGAAACCAGAGCCAGTGCCACCCCCAAAGCTGTGGAAGACTAGGAAGCCCTGCAGGCCTGTGCACTGGTCAGCCTGGAAAAGGCAGAAGCAAAGACATTTACTTTTGTCCCCTGCACCTTCTAGCTCAGCCACTAGCTCGGCTGGCTAGTGGCCCATTTGCCCTGTCCTGCTCGTCACCAGAGCCATTTTCCGAATGCAAGGTGTCCAAGTTGTCAGAGACTGCAAGCGTTCAGTGACAGCTCTCTGCTCCCAGTTTAAGCACAGCTAAGCAGGCATTAATACTCCCTTTCCAAAGTGGGCAGGCAGTTCTGCAGCAGCACAGTCAGACTCAGCTTGCTGCCCAGCACTCCTAAGCACTTTGCAAAGATGAATCAGAGGCCGCAGCAAGGAGAAACCTCAGATAACCCCAAAAAGGGATAGGAAGGAGGTTTTCCCAGTTCAGGAAGGGGAGTTTAAGGATGTCGCCCTCTGTCATGTCTCCCTGAAGGGCCCACTTTGGTGTTTCACTTGCAGATCGCTCTGAGGACACACTGAGGAGATAAGGGCTCAGAGGCAACATGGACAAGCTGCCAGGAGCCATAAATGCTCCTGTTTGCATCCCCAGGATTCAAGGGCAATGTGGAGCTGCACCCAGCAGCAGCACCCAGAAGCCAAAGAGCAGCCAAAAGTAACAAGAGCTTCTTCTGATGTTAAGACTGCAACCCAAGCTCAGTTCCCTGCTACCCCGTGGGCACTGGGGTAGGAGGAGTTCTCACCAGCTTGCGGATGCGGTCCAGCACCAGGTCGATGATCTCCTTGCCGATGGTGTAGTGGCCCCGTGCGTAGTTGTTGGCCGCATCCTCCTTGCCCGTGATGAGCTGCTCAGGGTGGAAGAGCTGCCGGTAGGTCCCTGTGCGCACTTCATCTGCGAGAGAAGGTCACGTACCCTGTGAGGGCCAGCGGCACCGCCACCATCGCCCCCCAACGCCACGGCCAGCCCCCTGCTCACCGATCACCGTGGGCTCCAGGTCCACAAAGACAGCGCGGGGCACGTGCTTGCCAGCGCCTGTCTCGCTGAAGAAGGTGTTGAAGGAGTCATCACCACCGCCGATGGTCTTGTCACTGGGCATCTGCCCATCGGGCTGGATGCCGTGCTCCAGGCAGTAGAGCTCCCAGCAGGCATTGCCGATCTGCACGCCCGCTTGGCCCACATGGATGGAGATGCACTCACGCTGGAGGGGAGGAGAACAGAGACACATGGAGCTGTTGGTTCTGGCTCCTTTTGGGGCAGTTCCCTCCCATGGGACTCTGGGAGCACCTGGGCACCTGCTCACTCTCCCACTGCTCCCCCTGCCCCAGGTTAACTGCAGCTTTGTAGCTGTCACAGCAAGGATGCCACTTTGAGCCCAGGTCAGTTTTGCTTTCAGTTACTCCCAGCGGCCACTGTCCCCATGGGGGTGTAGGAAGGACATTATGTGGCTCACTAGCACGCACGTCCTGTGCAGCACAGGCACACACCCGCTGCGAGGACGAGGAAGTACCAGGGTGAGCAATGGTGGGTGTGGGTGCAGGGGGAAAACCAGGAGCACCAGGCAGGACCGAGGTAGCTGGAGTGGAGTGGGGGCATCTGTCCATGTTCCCTCCTAGCAGGAATTCCAGCCTCACCCTGCTGCACCACCTGCTCTGGTGCATTTCTGCCACGCACCCGGCACAGATGGTGCCTAAGCCTGACCCACTGCAGGGGGGTTGGTGGCTGCAGTGAAGCGGAGGCACCCAATGGGGCCCGGGGGATTAAGCCCAGGGTGAGGGGAGGGGCTCCTGCATGGGACTGTTTTTTTTTGCTGGTACAAAACTCAGTGCCGCAGGGTGGCCGGGAGGCTCTGCCCCCCCGCCAGGACTGCAGTTGTGCAGGACGCGCTGGGCGCCATGGCGGGTGCTGAGCAAGGATGGAAGGTGGGGGAGGGTGGGAAACACACCCGTCTGCTTCCCGCGCGCGGGAAGGGTAACGGTCGGGGCTGGGCGCCAAAATCGGGCGGGCACCCCGCCCCCACAGCGGGGGAAGTGGCAGGAGGCCACGTGCCATGCCCCAAAACGCCCGCCTCCTACCTTCCCCCCCCTGTTTGAGGCTGCCCCCATCCCTTTTTCCCCCCCAAGCCTTCCTTCTCCTTTTCCTCTCCCCACAGTCCTCCCACCTCGGTGCCCCCCAGCACTGCTGTCCCACCGCAACGCCCCCATCTCCCTCTCCTTCGCCCCTCAGCCCCGCTCTCTTGCCCCATTGCCTCCCCAGACTAGATTCCTGCCTCGCTACCCCCCATCCTTGCTCTCTTACCCCGATGCTTCCCCCAGCCCAGCCTTCCCACCGCCATTCTGCCGCTCCGATGGACCCCACACTCCCGCTCCCCTTCCACTCCATCTCCCCTCCCCATTTTCCAAGACCCTCCAGTTCCGTACCGTTTGTCCCCCCCCATTTCCACCCCCTTCCCGACCCCGCCCGCCATACCATGGTGGCAGCGCAGTTACTTGTCCCGACAAGTAAAGGGGTCGACGCAAGTAAGAGAATGCTGCTCTCGACGGGCGCCCCCTTATATATGAGGCTGGGGGGCGGGCTACTCCCCCGAACTTCGCCCCCATTGGCCACCGCACCCACCCGACCGCGCGTCCGACCCCGCCGATTGGCGAAAAAGCGTGGGGTTCCCGCCCCCTTCCTCCCCCCGTCCCCCCGCCCTCCATCCCGTTCCATTCGGGAAGGGGCGGACACTGCGGAGCTCTGCGGAAGCGGGGGGCGGAGGGTTGCGGGCCCCCTCCACCCCCCCGGGCCCTGCAGTGAGGAGGGATTGGGGAGGGGGTCTGCGCGAGGACGGGGGAGGGGGAACCGCGCTCCGCAGCACCCCCTCTCCCCCCAATCTCGGTGCATTTCGTATTGCGCCGATATTGCGGCTCGGCCGCCCCCCCCCCGCCCGGTGCGGCTCCGCTGCAGAGGAAAACTGCGACAGAGCGGGGGGGGGGAGACGCCCTGCAGCACATGCTGCCCGCCCTCCCGGCCCCCCCGCCGCACACACCCCACCCAGGTCCTAATCCACTTTTGCCCCCCCCCCGACCCCTCCGTTGCACCCGAAACCAGCCCATCTGCGCTGCCAGCGACCCTTCCCCTTGGGCCATCTGCACTGCTGCAGCCCCGGCACCGCCCTCCACCGCGGGGGTCTCCGGCCCATCTGCTCAGCGCCTCCGAGCCCAGCTGCTCTATCGGGGACCCTCCAGCCCAGGGCGGGTGCCCAAGCCCATCTGCACCTCCAGCCCCCCCACCCTCCAGGTCCCCTCATCCCGGGCCATGTGCACCCTAAAGACCCCAACCCCCCTGGGGGTTTGCAACCAATCTGCATCCCCTGGAGCTGCTCTGCCTCCACCCCACCAGCGATTACCAGTCTAGGGGGACATGTGGCCCAGCCTCTTCTGTGCCCCAAAATGGTGACATTTGGAAGGAGGTGAAGCCCTGGAGATACTGCCTCAGCCCCTGCACCCCCCAAACCTGCTGGGGCAGGATGGGAATAGATGGGATTTGGCAGCTGCGCTAGGCACCCTGCCCCTCCCCAGCAATGGTGGGTGCTGGGGGTCACACCCTGTTCACTTCCCACCCCCGTCACCCTGAATTGGTGGCCAGACACTGCCAGGGACCCAGGGATCCCACAGACACCCTGTGCTTCCCGCCGTGGCCCTGCCCTAATCCATAATGCTCTTTGCTCTGAATAATCCTGCTCCCACCGGAGCTTTGGGATAACCCGGCAGGGACAAAGCAGGGGGCTCAGAGCCGCTGGCATCTCCGGGCACCACCAGCGCCGCTGCGGCAGGCGTCCCCCCGCCCTGTTGCCGCAGCGGCACTGCAGCGGGTGACGTGGCAGGTGGCCATTCGCCTGCCGCAGTGGCCACGTGCTCAGGGCCACCAGCCATCTTGCTGCACAGCAAAATGGCACCGGTGGCCAGGCCACGCGCAGGCACGGCCCATTCTGTGCCGCCCCCACCCCGCCCCACCTGTGGCACCATTCTGTGCTGCCCCCCCCCGCGGCACCCGCTCATCATCTCCTCCATCCCTCTTGCCCATAGGGCGGATTGTGGCACAGGATGGGGGATCCTCCCTGTGCCCCCCTCCTTGAGAAGCTCGTGGCCACATGGGGGGTTGGGGACTCATGGCTGCCCCCCCCAGGAGGGACTGGAGAGTCAGGAGGCTGCCCACAGCCCCCAGGGCACACAGGTGGGAAGGGGACACATGGCTCTGGCTACAAGTAGCAGTGATACCTTGGGGTGACACCTCCCCCACCCTCTTGGGCCACAGGGCCTTTTCCTGAAGGATTTATGAGGCTCCCCAGTTCCCTAGAGCAGCGAAGCCAGGAAGTGCTGCTGTACCTGCAGCAGTTCTGGGAGGACCCAGGACCATCCATGCTGTGGAGCACCCAGGACCTGGGTGCAGAGGCTGCACCCTGCCTGCTCCCAGTGGGCTCATCCCCCTGCTCCGCCCAGCTTGGGGACAGCTAGGGACGCTGCAGAACTGAGCCAGCCCTCATGTCCCCATGTCTTCCAGACACCAGAGTGCTGAGATGCCCAAGGGGGACCAGGCTTGGCAAAACACAGAGTGACCACACGACACAAGTCCTGTAGGACAGGGAACGCTTTTTATTGAGACCCTGGCAGGCCGGGGAGGGTCCCCGGTACAGAGCAGTTGCACAGCAAACACGCGGCGGCAGCAGCAACCACCGCTGGGCTCCAGACGCTGCCTTATGTTCCCTGTGAGAGCAGCACAGTGGGCTGGGCTAGTACTCCTCACCTTCCTCCTCACCCTCGCCCTCCACCGAGTCCACCCCCACCTCCTCATAATCCTTCTCCAGGGCTGCCATGTCTTCACGCGCCTCCGAGAACTCGCCTTCCTCCATGCCCTCACCCACGTACCAGTGCACAAAGGCGCGCTTGGCGTACATGAGGTCGAACTTGTGGTCCAGGCGGGCCCAGGCCTCGGCGATAGCCGTCGTGTTGCTCAGCATGCACACGGCGCGCTGCACCTTGGCCAGGTCGCCCCCCGGCACCACCGTGGGCGGCTGGTAGTTGATGCCCACCTTGAAGCCCGTGGGGCACCARTCTACAAACTGGATRSTGCGCTTGGTYTTGATGGTGGCGATGGCRGCRTTGACRTCTTTGGGCACCACATCCCCACGGTACAGCAGGCAACAGGCCATGTACTTGCCRTGGCGAGGGTCGCACTTGACCATCTGGTTGGCCGGCTCGAAGCAGGCGTTGGTGATCTCGGCCACAGAGAGCTGCTCATGATACGCTTTCTCAGCGGAGATGACGGGCGCGTAGGTGGCCAGGGGGAAGTGGATACGGGGATAGGGCACCAGGTTGGTCTGGAACTCAGTGAGATCAACATTCAGGGCCCCATCAAAGCGCAGGGATGCAGTGATGGAGGACACAATCTGGCCTATCAACCTGTTGAGGTTGGTGTAGGTGGGACGCTCAATGTCGAGGTTCCTGCGGCAGATGTCGTAGATGGCCTCGTTGTCCACCATGAAGGCACAGTCGGAGTGCTCTAGGGTGGTATGGGTGGTGAGGATGGAGTTGTAGGGCTCCACCACGGCTGTGGACACTTGTGGGGCTGGGTAGATGGAGAACTCCAGCTTGGACTTCTTGCCATAGTCAACTGAGAGGCGCTCCATGAGCAGGGAGGTGAAACCAGAGCCGGTGCCACCCCCAAAGCTGTGGAAGACTAGGAAGCCCTGCAGGCCTGTGCACTGGTCAGCCTGTGCCAGGAAGACAAGACAGAACAGCCTGAGCTCCAGCACCACCAGAGCTGAGAGAGAAGTTTCTTCCTGGGGCAGAGACACTGTTGCTTCCTGCTCTGTGGTCCTTCTGTGACCTTCTGGGAACTTCCTAATGGCCAGAGAAGAGGCACCAGGCCAGGGGCACTCTAAGGGCCACCCCAACTCCACGTGTTGGGAAGGGTCATGGGAGTAGAGCCCCTTAGGAAAGGGGGACAAGGAGCAGCACCAGCAGGCAGGGCATCTCAGAGCACCCTGTGGCAGCCAGGATGGGCACAGGGTGGCAGGGATTGTGCCACCCGTTGCCCTGGGCACCCTCAGAGGCCCAGCACAGCAGGCGCAGCCTGTTTCGAGCCCCTGAGCAGGAACAAAGGGGACCGCAGAGTTGAGCGCTTGGGCTGCGGCGCTGCTCCAGCTCTGCAGCGGCCTCCAATGGGAGCCGCCGCTGGCCGGATTAACATTAATTAATACATTAAGTCTAAATCCAGCCCTGCTGGTTCACAGGGGAGGGAGAACAAACAGCTTTGCTCTCACCCACCCCCCAGGCGCCTGGCCCAGCAGCACCTACCAGCTTGCGGATGCGGTCCAGCACCAGGTCGATGATCTCCTTGCCGATGGTGTAGTGGCCCCGTGCGTAGTTGTTGGCCGCATCCTCCTTGCCCGTGATGAGCTGCTCAGGGTGGAAGAGCTGCCGGTAGGTCCCTGTGCGCACTTCATCTGCGAGAGAAGGTCATGTACCCTGTGAGGGCCAGCGGCACCGCCACCATCGCCCCCCAACGCCACGGCCAGCCCCCTGCTCACCGATCACCGTGGGCTCCAGGTCCACAAAGACAGCGCGGGGCACGTGCTTGCCAGCGCCTGTCTCGCTGAAGAAGGTGTTGAAGGAGTCATCACCACCGCCGATGGTCTTGTCACTGGGCATCTGCCCATCGGGCTGGATGCCGTGCTCCAGGCAGTAGAGCTCCCAGCAGGCATTGCCGATCTGCACGCCCGCTTGGCCCACATGGATGGAGATGCACTCACGCTG